AGGGGTGGCCGAGGGCGCGGGGCGAAGGGCAGGGTGGGTGTGCAGGTCCCTTGGTGTGTGGCGTGGGGCTGCTTGCTGTCACTACCGGATTTCAGTCCCCATTGACACGGCAGGGCTCACTTCTCACTTCTGCTTCTGCTTGCGGCTCTGCTTGTGTCTCTGGCCATGGGGACAACCGTCGCTGCTGTCCCTTCGGGTTGTGTGTGGCACCGCCACTGCGGCATGGCCACTGCAGGCTCTTCCATGGGCTGGGAACCCGCACCCCATTGCCCTCCATCTGTGCAATGGAGCTTCTGGGTCACGGGGCCGCAGTCCTGGCGATGCGCGCTCCTTTCCCATCCCCTCCTGCCCACCTCCACCCCCTGAGCTTATTACAGACTTCCTGGCCAACATGCCGATTAACGCCGCATCAGTAATTAAACCATGCTGGGAGACCACGAACCCGGGTTTACCCGTCCCAGCCTGGAAAATAAACCCTCCTCAATTAGCCCGGAACAGGTCTGTCTGCAGGGAGCCATTATCCGGGGCCACATGAAGGGATAATGTTTGTGTCTGCTTGGCTTTGCCATCGGCACGGCTTGGCACAGCGCAGCACAGGGTGGGAGGTGACGGCCGTGCTGGGAGCCTGGTGTGGGTGCCACCCTGGGAGGACGTGGGCACCTCACAACCCAGCGGTGAGGAGGCGTGAGGGGCAGGTAGGGGGTCTGCTGCTCAGGGTGGGTTTGGGGAGCAGAGGATGAAAGGGGATGCGCAGGGCTGTGCTGTGAGCAGGTGGCACTCTGTGGTGGCCGCGGGGGGGACAGCAGCAGTAGCTCTGTTACTCGGTTCCGGATCTGTCCTGGTGACTGTGATGCTGCGGTGGGTGCATGGGGGGTTGGGTGCTGTGCTGAGTGGTGGGCAGGACTGGATAGGGCCCTGCAGGCAGCGCCCTGCCACCACCTCCCCCCCTTCACCCACCCCCCCCCAGCCAAGTGGGTGTCACTGCTGTCACCAGGAAGTCCTGGTGTTTTGACATTTCCGAGGAAAGCCCCAGCTGAGTGGGAGGGTGCTGTGGTCAGAGCCCGGCTCCTGCTGGGCTGTGTCAGGTTTGGAGGGGAACATCTTCCCCCTGGGAGCACCCTGGGGTGGTGTCACCAGGGCATCCCATCTCGGCTGCTGCTGTCCCCAGCTCTAGTTGTTGTCTGGCACCCACAAGTGGGCACGGGGTGCCCAGGCCCCCTCTCTGAGATGCCATTTCTGCACGTCTGCTCCATCCACCTCCCAGCATCTTCAGGCCAGGTGCTGCGTGTCCCTCGTCTCCAGGCCACATGGCACATGGCTGTGCCGGCAAGCTGCCGCCCGAGCCTTACTGGTGCCAAGAAATGGGCTGGCACATATGTGCCATGCAGGGAGGCTGCAGCGTGGGCCGGGGGACGCAGGCGCCGTGGGGCACTGCGGCATCGGGGTGGGCAGTGCTGGGCGTAGGGGTCCCCGGTGCCTGAACACCCAATGCCAGGTGAGTGACAGCGCGTGCTCCCCTTGCCCTTTGGAGACCTGGAGTTGTGCAGCCGGGACACCCATGCGATGGGTGCTGGGGTGATGGGGGGATGCTTGGAGGAAAGGGTGTCACTGTGCTGAGGTTCCCATTGCCGCTGGCGGGGCTTGGGGCTGAGCGTAGAATGGGCAAACTCAGTGCAGGGGTGGGAGAGGAGGGGAGGCGGGGAGGCTGGGTTTTTGCCATGCTGGGCATGTGCGGGAGCAGCCAGGCTGCAGCCTGTATTTGAGCCCGGTAGGGTTGGGACCAGGTTGCAGTGCTGCGGTGACAGGGACCGGGGACAGCCTCATCCTCAGGAGGCTGTGTGGGAGTGGGGACAGCGCATCATCACGGAGGTAGGACCCAAACAATGGCTGTGCCAGGAGGGAAGGAGGAGGGGGAGGAGGAGGGGAACAGACAGCTCTGGGGGCCCTCAGCCACCACACAAAGGCTGGGGCGGGGGTCTCGGCTGCATGCCTTGTGGTTGCCAGGCTGCTAGTCACCCGGTGGCCTTGCGATGGCACCGCTACTGTCACCCACTGTCACCTCCTCGGGGCCAGCTGTGTGTCAGCACCAGCACCACAGTGCTGCCACAGTGCCGGGAGCGATGTGGAGTGACACATCGTGTGCCATGCCCAGAGCCCCCTGTGTGCACCAAGGCTGTGAGGCGAGGTGTTCACCGGGGAGGCGGTGCTGGTGGCCGTGCTGGTGACACCACCGCTTGTGGAGCTGCGGGGGGGGCACGATGGAGGGCACAGGTGGCTGTGGGCACCAGGATGTTGGCAGAGCCCCAGTGATGCCACTAAGGGACAGCCTCGTCCCCATGGTGCCAGGAGGTGGCATGCCCCGTTGCCGTGCTTCACCTCGCCGGCTGCCAGGAATGCGCCGGGGCTGTGTGCCCACTGGCGTGGCTGCTGCTGGGGCAACGGCAGCAGGGTGAGCAGCACCGAAGGCATCCGGCTGTCCTCCTGGGAATGGTAGTGTGCTGGGTGCTGGTTTTGGGGTGTCCTGCTGACACTGTGTTCACCCTGCACAGGGAGCAGCCTGGAGCCCCAGGAGCGCAGCATGGAGGCAGCGGCCGTGCCCCAAGAGTTGCCCCCTGACCGTGGGGTGCACGAGCTGTTTGGGTACGTGGGGATCGAGGCCGTGCTCGAGCAGATGAAGGTGAAGACCATGAAGATGGGCTTTGAATTCAACATCATGGTTGTCGGTGAGCGCCTGCAGGGTTTGGCTGCTGGGAATCTGATGCCACCGTGTGGGCAGAGAGTTGGGGAACTCAGGCTTTGGGGAGACTGAAGCAACAAGAGACTGAAGAAGGATGGGTCTCATAGTGCAGTGGCGTGGCTGTGCTCCCTGCACACCAGGAGTTGGGCATCCCAGCTTTGTCCTGCAGGATTGGGGTGCTCCCAAACAGAGCTATGGTGGGGGGTTATAAATGCATGGGAGGGGACAATGTGGAGCCGTTCATGTCCTCACAGGGCAGAGCGGGCTGGGGAAGTCCACCATGGTGAACACCCTCTTCAAGTCCAAGGTGAGCCGCAAAGCCTCGCAGCCTGGCCAGGAGGAGCGCATCCCAAAGACGGTGCAGCTGCAATCAGTCACCCATGGTAAGGTCACCAATGTGTCCACAAAGCCATGGGAGAGGGAGGGGATGGGGGGTGAGTGAGATGGAAGGGACCCCCACCTCGGTCTCCTGCTTCTGCTTAATGCACGGATCCCGCTGATCCCACAGTCATCGAGGAGAAGGGTGTGAAGATGAAGCTGACGGTGACGGACACGCCGGGATTTGGCGACCAGATCAACAACGACAACTGGTAGGAAACAGCCACTGTGGTGGCATTTGGGAGAGGCTAAACCCCAACGGGGCTGCTCTGATCCATCCCCTGTCCCCAGCTGGGAGCCCATCATCAAGTACATCAACGAGCAGTACGAGCGGTACCTGCGCGAGGAGATCCTCATCACCCGCAAGAGGAAGATCCCGGACAGCCGGGTGCACGGCTGCGTGTATTTCATCCCCCCCACGGGGCACTGGTGAGCACCACGGCGGTGACCCTGCACCCATGGGTGCTGCCAAGGGGTGGCAAGGTGACAGCTGTCCCCCCCCCTCAACCAGGCTGCGTCCCCTCGACCTGGAATTCATGCGGAGGCTGAGCAAGATCGTCAACGTGGTGCCGGTGATTGCCAAGGCTGACACGCTCACTCTGGAGGAGCGGGAGGAGTTCAAGCAGCGGGTGAGGGGAGGCACAGGGGGCTCCTGGCCCTCCTGCCCCCCTGCTGTTGTCCGGCAGCCCCTTACACCCCGTGTCCTGCAGATCCAACGGGACCTGAAGGCCCACGCCATCAGCGTGTACCCGCAGGAGGATTTCGATGAGGACCCAGATGACCGGTTGCTCAATGATAGGATCCGGGTGAGTGTTGGGAGGCTGGCGCAGGGGGGAGAGTGGGGGCACCCTGGGGTGACCTTGTTCCCTGGATCCCAAAGGAGAAGATCCCATTCGCCGTGGTGGGGGCGGACCAGGAGCACCAGGTGAACGGCAAACGGGTGCTGGGCCGCAAGACCAAGTGGGGCATCATCGAAGGTAAGGGCAGCTCACAGCGTCCCCAAGGAACGGGACCGGGCTGCCACCAGGGCACCTCGCGGGGAGCAGCGCCCAGAGGTGCACCCCTGCATGGTGGGTGCTGTCCCCGCGGCACAGAGCCGACCCCACAGCTCTCTGCCTTGCCTTGCAGTGGAGAACCCGGCACACTGTGAGTTCCCCATGCTGCGGGACCTGCTCATCCGGTGAGCCGGGGTCGGGGTCACACCTCAGAGCACCCCGAGCTGGGCAGCTGGCTCTGGGCGCCCCGAAGCTGCAAGGGGTGCATGAGAGTAACACGATGCCTTGCTCCCCGGGCAGGTCCCACCTGCAGGACCTCAAGGACATCACCCACAACGTGCATTACGAGAGCTACCGCGTGCGGCGGCTGAACGAGAGCAACCGGCCGGCGCCGAGCTCCAACAACGGGCTGCCAGGCAGGGATGAGGATGGGGACGAGAGCAACCTCTGAGCCCTGGGGCCCTACCCCATGGCAGCACCCGGCCCCCACCCCACAGTGACTGTGCCACCTCAGCTTGCAGCCGCCCCAGCCCACGAGGACAAACAGAGGGGGCTCCCCGGGTGTCCCCGAGCTCTGCTGAGACGCCCGGAGCCCGCTCAACATTAAAGGTGAAAACGGAACCTTCAGCATCTGCCGTCCCGCAGTGCCACCCTCTGTGCTGACAGCCCCATAGGTGGCAGCAGGACTCCCTGCCACCGCCCCGCTGGTGCCCGGACTTTGAGCCGCTTATCGGCTGCGGCCGCACCAGGAGGCGGCACCCAGGGGTGCGGAGCTACACCCAACCGCTCCCTGATGGGCACGTCCTGATGGGTGGTGGGGGAAGGGGGGGGGTGTCAGGTTAAGGGGGGAGTCGTTCCTGACCCCAACCCCTCGCTCACACATGGCACGGTGTGGGGTCTACTGGGAGCAGCTGTTGGGGAGCTCAGGAGGCCGCGTTTTGCCCCCGCCCCAGGGCAGGGCACGGGCTGGCTGCCAGCACGCTGCCCCCCCTCGGCTCGATCTGCAAGGCTCAGCCCCGTGTTAATGATCCACCCACAGCTGGCTGCGCCGTGCTGGTGGCAGCAGTGGGGCCGGGGGGCCCGGTGCCCCACCCTGAGTCCCGGCAGCCCTACAGGCACGACGCAGCCATGGCGGTGGTGTCGGTGAACTGGAGGGCCGTCACCTCCTGGGTGGGCATCGCACGGCTTTTCGCCGTCCTGCTGTCCTGCCTCTCCTTCAGCCTGGTGGCCTCCACCGGTAACTTCAGAGGGCCCTACGGGACGTGGTGCATGTTCACCTGGTGCTTCTGCTTCGCCGTCACGCTGTTGGTGCTGCTGCTGGAGCTGCTGGAGCTGCCCCCCAAGCTGCCCGTCTCCTGGGACGACCTGACGGCCGCCTTCGCCATGCTGGCGGCCCTGATGGTGTTCACCAGCTCCGTGGTGTTCCCATCCGCCTTCATCTCCAGCCCCTGTACGGGTGCCCGCTGCGCACGCCAGGCGGCCGCCACCGCCATGTCCTGCCTTTGCTTCCTGGCCTACGCCCTTGAGGTGGGGCTCACCCGCGCCCGCCCGGGGGACATCAGCAGTTTCCTCTCCACCGTACCCGGCTTGCTGAAGGTGTTCGAGGCTTACGTCGCCTGCCTCATCTTCTCCCTGCTGGATTACTACAGCTCTTACGCCGGCTTGCAGTGGTGTGTGGCCGTCTACTCCATCTGCTTCATCATCACGCTCCTCATCATCCTCTTAACCATCGGCCGCTGCCTCAGCTACATGCCCTGCCCGCTGGAGAAGGTGCTGGTGGCCTACAATGCTCTGGCCCTGCTGATGTACCTCACTGCTGTCATCATATGGCCGCTGTACAGCTTCAACGGCCGCAGCCGGCCCAATCCCTGCAATACGGACTGCTGGTGGAACAAGAGCCTCGGCGTCACCTTCCTCACCATCTTCAACTTCCTCGCCTATCTCGTGGACCTCGTCTACTCCACCAGAATGGTCTTCATCAGGGCCCCTTCCTAAGGGATGGGGGGTTATGGGATGCAGTGCCGCGTGGGGCCAGGGGATGCAGAGCTGAGGAAGAGGCCGATGCCTCGGAAAGCTCCATCCCACCAGCCGTATGGGGTGCTGGGTGCTCTGGGGGTCGGGGGGGGGGGGGGGCTTTGGGATTAAATTGGGTCGTTTTTTGCTTTTTTCTGCCTCTCTGCTTTCTTCCCCTTTGGCTGTGGGTGGGAGCGCTGCCCCACAGCAGCCCTGAGCGGCTGGGCAGGGTCAGGGGGGCACCGGGTTCCCCCTCTCTCCCACCCACTGCAGGTCAGCGGAGCACAATCAGGAAAAACCCAAGCTGGCTGCCTTTACTTGGCACCTGCACGGGGTCCTGTGGAACGGGTTTGGGAGGAATGCAGCTGCTGGGGGGGCCAGATCCCCGAGCACTGACTGTGCTGTCACCGGGGTGGGAGCCCCATTGCTCAGGGCACGCTGGCTGCATGGCCATGCATGCGTTACTCCGTGGCGGTGGAACCAGGACGTTCCCTGCCTGGGGACACACACAGTGCCACCCATGTCCCTGTGGTCCCTCTGGGTGTGGCACAGCACGGTGGCACTCCGGGAAGAAGGATGCAGAGCAGGGAGGTGCCCAGCAGGGAGGGCACCCTCCACTGCACTCCCAGATGTGTGCTGGGCACCCAGGGTGTCCCCACGCTGTCCCCAAGCCATGCTGTGCCCCTACATTCTGCATCCCCAGGCTCTGCACTGCTGTCAGCGCCCATTCGCAGGCTGTGCTCCACCTGCTCCTTCCCCAGTGCCACCACCATCGCTCCAGCACCTTGTCTACATCACCTCCCATCCCACGGCCATGTCCTCTTGTGGGGACAGCACTGCTTGACCTTCCCCCCCTCCTCCCAGCAGGGCCATGCTGGGCCACTGGAGCCACTCACAGCCTCCCAAGGCAGAAATTTTTTGAGCAAATAAAGGAAAAGCCACACACCCCAGCTCAGCCCTGCCCAGCACTGAGCAGAGCTATTTTTAGGGCTGGAGTTGATTGAAATTCATGGAGGAAAGGCACGGCAGCACGTGGCGGCTGTGCTGGTGAGGAGCTGCAGTGCTTTGTGGTGGTGGCACATCAGCTACGGTGGGGCTGGAGTGCAGGTAGGGGCTGGGCTGGGGGGTGGGCACTGGGAGGCACTGGGGATGTAGCATAGCACAGGGCATGTGGTGCTACCAGGACCTGCTGAGCCCTCGTGGGCGCACAGAGCACTGGCAGCAGATGATGTTGGGTTGGAGCTTACCAGTGTTCTGCTGTGCTGTGCTATGGGGAGCCCCAGTGCCAGGCCAAGGGGAGCCCCAGTGCCATTCTGTGGGGAGCACTATGCCATGCTATGCGGAGGACTGATGCTATGCTATGGGATGACCTGGTGCCATGCCATGAGGAGCACTGGTGTCACACTATGGGGAGCACCAATGCGATGCTATGGGGAGCCCCACTGCTATAGGGAGGGCTGGTGCCGTGCTATGGGATGGACTGATGCTCTGCTGTGGGGAACACCAACACCATTCCATGAGGAGCACTGGTGTCATGCTATGGGGAGCACCAATGCCATGCTATGGGGAGGACTGATACCATGATATGGGATGAATTGGTGCCATGTAATGGGGAGTACCAATGCTGTGCCACGAGGAGCCCCAGTGCCATGCTATGGGGAGCCCCGTTGCCATTCTATGGGGAGGACTGCTGCCATGTAATGGGAAGCACCAGTGCCATTCCATGAGGAGCACTGGTTTCATGCCATGGGGAGCCCTAGTGCCATTCTATGGGTAGGACTGATGTCATGCTGTGGGATAAACTGGTGCTATGGTATGAGGAGAACTGGCATCATTCTGTGCCATACTATGGGGAGTCCCTGTGCCACGCTGTGCCACACTATGGGGAGCACTGGTGCCATACCACGGGGTGAACTGGTGCCATAGTATGGGGAGCATTAATGCCACGCTATAGGGAGCCCCAGTGCCGCGCTATAGGGCACACCGGTGCCGTGCTGCGCCGTGCTATGGAGCTTCCCGGTGCCAGTGCAGTGGCGGAGCGGTGCCGGTGCGCGGCGGATTCCTCCCCCTAGGGGTCGGTGTGCGCCGGAACGGCGGTGCGGGAGGCGGCAGCTCATGCGCACGGTCCGGGGCGGCCGGGACACGGCGGGGAGCCGGGCAGCGGAGAACGGAACCGGCGAGGACCCGGGTGAGTGCGGCGGGGCCGGGGCGGGGACCCCCACTCACAGCCCTGAAGGTGGCGGGCGCTGCCCGGGAGATGCACGGGGCGGGTGGCGGGGAAGGGCGATGGAGCCCCCGGACCCTCTGTCCCGGTGAGCGGTGGGAGGCAGCGCGGTGGTCCCCGGGCTGTCCCGCTGTCACCCGGCTGTGCCACACGCCACGGCCACCTCTGTCGCTGTCGCTGTGTCAGCCCGCGCGGATGAGGGGCGGCTTCTTCCCCATCAGCTGGAAGCCCCCGGGATGTCCCTGTGTTCCCCGGTGTCCCCGGCCGGACCAGTCGCGCCCGGGCAACCCCATCCGCCTCCCCCGGAGGGGCAGGTCTGAGTCAGCTCGGGGTCACTGCGTGAGGCTGTGTCCTCACCGTGTCCCCGCCGTGTTCCCTGCGGATGGAGTACTCCATGGAGCTGGGGGGAGCGGGACAGCCCGGCAGTGCCCCACCCGGGACCAGTGTCACCCCGGAAAGGGACTCAACGGAACCCCGACCTCGTGGGGACACGGCACGGGTGGAGCAGAACTGGGGTGTTCAGGGTCTGTCTCCACGGGCACCAGCAAGTGTGATGCCACCCATCACTGGATGGGAACACAGCACCCCCATGGGTGGTGCTGTTTGGGGGTGTGCTCCAAGACAGCTGCACCAGCGTCTGCACGGCAAGGAAGGGGTTAAGGCACGCTGCGAGGTATCGGGGTGTCCCCAACCAGGGGTACACCCGGGCAGCTCCTCGTACCGGTGACCTCACGGCATTGCCATAGCAACGCCGCATGAAATCACCGGCGCCAACGTGAGCATCCAGCCCGGCACCCCGCTGTCACCACGCACCGTGTCCCCCCAGGATGAGCTGTGCCCACGTGTGACCCTGCCACCATGCTGGTCAAGGAGTACCGCATCTGCATGCCACTCACCACCGAGGAGGTGAGCAGTGGGGGTCCCGTGCCACCCTCTGGGGGCGAGCACCGAGCTTTTGGGTACAGAATTCTCACTTCTGGGTGCGAGCCTGGGACCCCCTGGCACACCTCATCCCCGTGCCTGGTGCCTTTGGGGCTCAGCGTCCCCTCTCATCCACCGCAGTACCGTGTGGGGCAGCTGTACACCATCAGCAAGCACAGCCACCAGGAGAGTGAGAAGGGTGAGGGCGTGGAGGTGGTGCGGAACGAACCCCACGAGGACCCCGTGCACGGCCCTGGGCAGTTCACCGAGAAGCGTGTCCACCTCTCCAGGTGAGGCGTACAGCATGGGGAGGGATGGGGGTCCCAACCTGCCCGAACGCTGGGAGACATTGCTGTGCTGTGACCTCATCGTGCATGCCCCCATCCCTGCTCCCCAGATCTGCAGGGGATAGCATCACCCAGGCTGCAGCCACCTCAGGAGAGACGCACCCAACTTTGGGGCTGCAGGGATGCGCTCATCTCCTGCAGAAGCTCCATCTTCCAGGGGCTGCACCCATCTCTGGGGTGTGCATCCATCTCCTGAGGACGGCACCGTCTCCCAGTGCAGGGCTCAGCAGGGATCCAGGGGTGTCCCCATGTCCCTGCATTCAGCCCCAGGTGCCACGGGGTGGCTGCTGGCACACAGTGCTGCTGTCCCCGTGTCCCCGCCGCCAGCTGCGGCGTGTGGCCAAGAGCACTCCGGCTGCTCCCCCAGTAGGGAGCCACTGGCGTTAGACAGGATATTTTTAGCCACGGCACTCACGATTCTCCTCTCGGGGATGTTATTTATAACACCAGAAAATTAATCAAAAAAAAACACCACCCGGCTCCCCGCTGCTGGGAGGGAGGCAGCCCACACCGTGAGAGCCCAGGGTGGGGACTGGAGCATCGTGAGCACCGGGCTGTGGGGAGATGGAGTGGGCTTGGGGCAGGGATGGGGGTTCTGGGGCGATGGGACTCCTGGAGAAGGGATGAGGGGTCCAGGAGCTGTGCTTGGCGGGGTGGGGGTGGATGGCATCGGGCTGTGCCGTGCTCCTGGGCTGCACCCTGCCCTGCTGGCAGCACCGACCCTGTGCTGCCTTCCCCCACAGCAAGCTGCCCAGCTGGGCACGGGCGGTGACTCCCCGCATCTTCTACATCACGGAGAAGGCCTGGAACTACTACCCCTACACCATCACTGGTGAGTCCTGTTGTGAGGACGGGGCACTCGACACAGCCTGGCACCGCAGGGTCCTGGCACAAACTCACTTCTCTTTTTCTCCCCCCTCAATGCTGCTCTGTGCTGCCGGTGTCCCTGCAGAGTACACGGTAAGGGATTGGCATGGGGAGACCTGGTCCCTTTCCTCTGGGGTGGGTGTCCTCAGGGTGCAGCTCCTGGCTGCTCTCCCCACAGTGCTCCTTCCTGCCCAAGTTCTCCATCTACATTGAGACCAAGTACGAGGACAACTGCGGGGATAGCGAGAACGTGAGTGGCACTGCCCATGTCCCTCAAGTGTCCTTCCCTGAGACCCAGCAAACTCATTGCGGGGAACACATGTGGTTGCTGCCATCCCCTCTCACCCCCCCCCGTCCCCATCCCAGATCTTCCACAGCGATAAAATCCTGGGTGACCACGAGGTCTCCTTCCTGGACATCGCCTTTGATGAGATCCCCGAGCGCTACTACCGCAGCCTGGAGGTAACGGGGTTCTGGGGGTGCCCTGCTTGGGGTCCCCCCGCCCCCCGCCCGGCTCACAGCCCCGCTCTGTGCCCCAGGACCCCCGGTTCTTCAGCTCAGCCAAGACGGGCCGGGGGCCGCTGCGGGAGGGCTGGCGCCAGCACACCAAACCCATCATGTGTTCCTACAAGCTGGTGACCGTCAAGTTCGAGGTGTGGGGGCTGCAGACGCGGGTGGAACAGTTTGTGCACAAGGTGAGGGGGTGAGGGCACGGTGGGGGCCACACAGGTGTGGGGTACTGAGGGCCACTGTCACAGGTGATCCGGGACATCCTGCTGATAGGGCACCGGCAAGCCTTCACCTGGGTGGACGAGTGGTGCGGTGAGTCCCTGCCATTCCCCAAAGCCACCCACCCCACTGGTGTCCCATACCCCCATGCCCCTGCTCCAGCTCACTGCCTGCTTCCCTGCACGCCTGGGACCGCGCTGGGCAAGGCTTGGCCAAAGCAGCACTGTGGCCAGACAATCCAAAACAGCCACCATTGGGGTCACCACTGGGGCCAGTACAGCTCTCTGCCTTCCAGACAGGTTCCTGGGAAGGTTTGTGCCTTCAATGCGTGCCTGCAAGTGGCCACAGCCCAAAGCTAGGGAGCCAATACCCCTATTCCTCTGCCTGTACATACACCTTGGCACACACCAGTGGTCCCCATGCACATGGAGTGCCCCTGTATCCCCTACATGGCTCAGCATCCCCTGCCTGCACTATCTGCCTTTTTGTCCCCTCCCCATGGAATCCTGCTGCCACCCTCCTATTCCTGCCTTCCCCTCTGCCCCAGCCCTTGTCACCTCCCCTGTGTGCAGCTCAGCAGGGACGCCGTACTGAGGGCTGGCACCTCGAGGGACTGGGGGACGCTGGGGTTGCCAGAGGTGGCTGTGATCCCGCGTGTGCTCGGCAGGCATGACGATGGAGGAGGTGCGGCGGTATGAGAGAGAGACGCAGGAGGCCACCAACGAGATCATCGGCCTGGTGGCCCCCACCATTTCGGTCAGCGAGGTGGGGCAGCCCACAGCCACTCACTCGGCCCCCGCCAGTGCCCCCTCCACCCCTCTCGGCGACGACGCCCCCGACTTCCTCGCCCCCCCCCAAAGCTCGGCCCCGCAAGAAGTCAGCGCCGGAGACCCTGACGCTGCCTGCGCTGCGGGAACGTGCCAGCGCAGAGTGATGCCGCACCGCGCTGCTGCACCTTGCCACCTCCCCAGCCAGACTGTCCTCTGCTCCGTGCCAGCCCTGCCACCCGCCTCATCCCCTCCGACAGCTGCTGACCCCAAAGGGGGGACCTGCCATCAGGGCACATGGGAGCCTTGTGGGGTTGTCGGTACCCCTGAGCCGCTGTGGGAGCCCAGGTGGGACACTGTCACCATTGCCGTGCTGGACCTGCTGGCTCACTGGGAGGGGACACTCGCAGCAGCATCAGGCCATGGTGGCATCCTGGCACCTGGTGCAGCCCCTTGAGCCTGAGTACTGCGGCGCTTGGGGAGTGATGCTCGAGCAGCACCCTGCAAGGTAGGCACTGGGCACAGGAGGGTGGGCATGGGAGTGACAGTGACAGCCCAGTGCCACCTCCTGGGGTTCCCCGTGGGATGCCAGGGACAACCCCAGGCCCTGCAGCTGAGAGCTGTGTCAGTGCGAGGGGTGCCAGGGCAAGCTGAGACCTGTGTTTTCTTTGGGAAAACATTGGCCTTTTCAGAAATAAAGCTGGAGACATGGTGACTGGCTCCTGGTGGTGGTTTATTGGGCCCTGCAGTGCAGAGCTGTGCTTGTGCTGTCCACCCACATGGCACACACTGGACACTTCAGCTGGGCTGGGAAAGGCAGCAGTGAGATTGGGGTTTGTGGGGCAGGACAGAGAGGACTGAGCTGGGTCAGCTCACCAATACCTGCAGTTGCACGGATAGAAACAGCTCCCGTCCCTGCTAGTCGTCATCGCTATCACCATCCAGCTCCCTGAGAGAGGTGGCTGGCCCCAGCAGGGTGATATAGTGAGAGCTGCAGTACACAGGTGCCTTGTTGGGGCTGGAATAGACCTGCTCGGGCCGCAGTGAGGCAAAGGGGTTGGCAGCATAACCTGTGACGCATGTCTCCAGCTCCACCAGGATCTGCAGTGAGGACTTCAGCTCCTGCTCACTGCCAGGAGAGAAAAAGAGGACTCTTGACTGCTCAGCTGGGGTGTTCTCCATAAGGACATCCCCACAACCAGCTGGGGGCACGCTGAGAGACTCACCTGTAGACAGTGAAGAGAGTGGGCAGGCAGTAGTCCCGCAGAAGCAGCAGCGTGGGCAGCCAGCCTGCCATGAGGTCGTGGCAGGCATGGAAACCTGCAGGGATGCAACCAGTGAGTAGGGCACACAGCTTGTACTCCTCACCCCACAGAGCCCAGCTGGCACAGCATGAAGCATGGTCTCTGTGTCACAGACCCCATCTTGCTGCAGTCGGAAGGACTGAGCACCCTTAGCAAGGAAAGGTCCTGTTCCCTGCCAGGCTCCAGGTCCTGGGCTGAGCCACAGAACTGAGATGCAGAGCCCAAACACAGGGACCCCTCTGGGTGCTGCTGGTGTCTGAACCTCAGAGTGTCACCCACTGTGAGTGGTGGCCCATCGTGGCTCAGTGCGCAGCCATGGCAAGCCTTGGGCACCTCCTGAAGTCCTCAGCAGCCTCAGGCTCTGCACCCTGGGCACTCACCTGGGTGGAAGCCCACCACCAGGTCAGGGCGGGCTGCCATCTTGGTCTCCACTTGGTCTTCCCAGAAGTCGTGGTACAGACCCTTGTAGCTGCTGAGATAGATCCTTCCTGGGGGTCCTGACGTGGCCAAGGGGGGCCTCATGATGGGCCCATCTACCACATCAACCCCCACCATCACCACCTCCATTCCCTGCTGGCCTGGGAACATCCGTGCCAGCTCATCATAGTCTGTCACCCGGGTGTTGAGGGTCTCAACGTGGGATGCCCCCACCACGTGAATGGTGAGAGGCTTGGCAAGGGGATCGATGCCGAACAGACGCAGCCCCAGGCCGATGGTGAGTGGCCGTGAGTGGAAGTCAGTGACGAGGCGCCGAACAGACTCACGCAGCTCTCCATCCTCTGGTCGTGGTTTGCCTGCGTTGGCCCAGAGGAGGCTCATGTAGCGCCCAGCCAGCACAGCATCCAGCTTCTCCTCCAGCTGCTCCTGCATAGAGAACCAGTCCTCCCAGCCTGCCACATCCCCAGCGGGTTTTGTCCAGGTCTCCGTGGGGAAGGGAATGTCACCTGGGGGCAGAAAAGTGGCATCTCAGTGGTGGTCCTGCAGGACAAGGCTGTCTGTCCCCACCGTGGCTGCAGGATATAGTGGCAGAGCCAGCTTGGGGTGACTAAAGCAAGGAGGAGGGACCTCACACGCCCAGGGGTTAGGCTGTGGGGAATGCATGGAGTGGGAGCAGCATCCCCTGACCCACCTGTGAAGATGAGCCACTCCACCAGCCGGTCCAAGGCCACCAGTTTCAGCTTCTTGCAGAACTTTTTGTGCACAGGCCAGTTGGCACGCTGGCATGCCACGCTGCAGTAGTACACGTTTTGACATCTGGGAGGAGAGAGGCAGCATGCCCAGCTTTGGGGGTGGCCAGGATCACACCCACTGAGCCACCCTGTAATGGCTGCATTGCCATTGGGGGCAAGTGAGCCTGCAATGGGTCTGGCACCCCCAGCCTCAACCCTGGTCCCTGGGCTAAGCTTGCCCTTTTGGGAGCCAGGGGACATCCAGCCCCACACTATTGCACTGCTTCCTCCATACCTCTTGCATCGCCGGAGACTTTTGGGATCAGGGAGGGCATCAGGGAGCTTCTTGCACTCGGCGCAGAACTTGAAGGTGTCCTCCATCTTCTGGAACATGTCGAAGTAAGTCCGGATGCCAAAGTCACTGCCCTTCTTCCTTCCATCCATGGCAGACCTGAAGGAAGCCCAGACACATGAGGTGAGCAGGATCTGTCCTGTCTCAGCCAGGCAGGAGTTCTCCCTCTAAGCCTGCAGGATTTCAGGCTGGCTGGGGACAAGGAGCCCTGTGTGTCACTTTGCTCTCAGGGGAGCTGGGGCTGGGGGGAGACACAGGGGGTGTGATACCCACACAGCCCACCCTGGCTGCTCCCACTCACTTGTAGTCCTCGTAGCTCTTCATGTTGAGCTTCTGCAGGATGACGTGGGACAGCCCCGGCACATTGCTGTCCATGGCCTGGAAGCCCAGAGAGTCCATGTCAGGAGCCCTCGCCGCTGCCGGCTCCTTTGCAGACTTCTTGGAGGCTTTGCGGGCTGCACCTCGGCCCCTCTGGGCCATGCTGCTGCAGCACACGGGGCTCTGGGATTGCTCAGCTCCCCAAGGAGATCCTGCGGGTGTCCCAGCGCCCGTCCCTGGAAGCAGGGTGCTGACTGGGGCGGACACACAAACGTCCTGCTCCTGCCAAGGGAGGGCTGAGCTCAAATGTCAGCCCCAAGAAGGCCAGGCTTCCCTGCGGGCATCTGATAGCAAAGCTATTCTGGTCAGCGCCTCCCAGGGAAGGGGGCCAACCCCCATGGGGAGGGATGTGGGAAAGCAGCAGGGTGATGGCAGACTGCCCTTCTCCTGGCCCTTTGCTCCTGGATACCCATGCCTAGAGCAGGGTGCTGCCTCACCCCAAGGGGCACAAAGCAGGGGGGCTGAGGGTCTCCATCGGCCAACCACAGGTGAGGCTCAGTGACTGGCAGGCCCCATGGCTACTGCTAGGGCAGGGAACAGGATGCAGATTAGTCTGGGGGTGCTGGGGACACGCTGACATTTGGTTTGGGGAGAGGACCCCAACCCCACAGGGGCTTGGCAAAGGCTGCCCACATCCAAGATGGCGGCGAGATTGGCACACGCTCCCCTGAGCTAAGATCTCGCGAATGTTGGCAATCTCGCGAGATAAGCTGGGTTGCCGTGGTTACGGGAAGCCAGACGCGGCGCCGCACGCCCCTGAGGCAGGTGAGGACCCGGGTTCGCGTCCCGCCGCCGCCGAGCCCGGCTCCCGGGGCTCACGTTGGTTCTTTGGCCGCTCCACACGCCCAGGTCTCCTCCCGGCTCCTCGGGCTCTGCGGTAAGGGTGCCGGGGCGCGGGGGGCTGCAGGAAGCCCGCACTGAGATCTCGGGAAGGGCTCTGCTGCCTTTGGCCCTCCTGTGGGCCGCAGGTCTGGGGATGAGCTGAGGGATGGCGGTCGGCAGGGCGCCTTGTCTTCCTCCGCCTCAGAACGGTGGGCAGACCCTCCTGTCACAGCTGAAGGAGAAAGCATTTCCACATTTCTCTCATTCTTCTTCCTGCAGAGCCATGGAGGTCCCAGCGGGGCCATCTGCCACCGAGGAGTCCTGCCCTCCTGAGACATCTGCGTCTGCTCCCGAGTCGCTGCCGTCACTGAGAAACGTGGTCCAGATCACTGTGGTGAAGGCTCAGGACCTGGTAAAGCTCTTCTGGAATATCTCAGCTGGTTTAATCAATGAGAGCTGAGCAGCATTCATCCTGATGGCTGAAAAGCAGAACGTGAGGCAGCAGTGTGTGATGACAGCTGGGAAAGCAAACGGGATCCTGGGCTGCATCAGCAGAGGGGTGGGCAGCAGGGACAGGGAGGTGACCGTCCCTCTCTGCTCTGCTCTTGTGAGGCCCCATCTGCAGCACTGCGTCCAGGGCTGGAGCCCTCAGGACAAGCAAGGCAGGGAGCTGTTGGAGAGGGTGCAGGGGAGCCACAGAGATGATCAGGGGCTGCAGCACCTCCACTGCAAAGACAGGCTGAGGGAGCTGGGCTTGTTCAGCCTGGAGCAAAGAAGGCTGGGGGTGACTTCATTGCAGCCTGCAGTACCTAAAGGGAGCCTACAGACAGGAGGGGAGTCAACTCTTGGAAAGGGTGTATAACAGCAGGACAAGGGGAAATGGTTTGAAGTTGAGGGGGGGAAGATTGAGGTTGGATGTCAGGGGAAGTTCTTGACAGAGAGAGTGGTGAGGTGCTGGAACAGCTGCCCAGAGAGGCTGTGGATGCCCCGTCCATCCCTGGAGGTGTTCAAGGCCGGGTTGGATGGGGCCCTGGGCAGCCTGGTTTAGCATTAAACGTGGATGTTGGTGGCCCTGCCTGTGGCAGGGGGTTGGAGCTTCGTGATCCTTGAGGTCCCTTCCAACCCAGGCCATTCTATGATTAATTGTATGACTTCTTGTGCTGTGAGCCCACTCTAGAGTGGATGTGAGGTGGCAGGGCTGAAGGAGGGCTGTCGGCCTCTGGCTTCTGCCCCACACTGAGGGCTTGCTCATGCAGACTGAAAGATGAGAAGTAATGGCTTTAAGTTACACCAGGGGAAGTTCAGATCGGATATTAGGAAAAAAACATTCACAGACAGCAGTGATGCAGTGGCAATGCTGCCCAGGGAGGTGGGGGTGTCACCATCCCTGGAGGGGTTCAGAAAACATGGGGATGTGGCACTGAGGGGTTTGGTCAGTGGGTACAGGGGGGTGGGTTGGGGTTGGACCTGGGGATCTGAGAGGTCTTCTCCAACCCAAATGATTCTATGATTCTAAGGCTTGTGCTTCTCTTAGATTCGGGAACACACCTCCTCAGCAGCAGTCCAGAGATGCTCTGGTGCTTTGTTGGTTTGAAATGTGTCTCTGTGCATTCTCTGCCTTGCTGTCCGTAAATGGCTGCTGCTTTTTTTTAAGGAAAGCACAGTGAAAACTATTTGATGAGACAAATAAGCCTAAATAGACCTGTCCCGGGGTATAAAGCCAGATTTTCAGCCCAGCTACCACAGTGCTAAATTGAATTGAAATAAATAGAGTGGCTTTAGATTTCAAAAAGTGGTGACTCCAGTGCACTTACAGTGCAAGACTGACCTAATTCAGACTAATACATAACTACTGTGATTTCCATGTGCTGTGTGATAACCCAGCTGTTCTTAAAGTCTTCTAGAGGAACTGGAATTTGGGAGGAAATGCTTGCTGCTCTGCTACAGCTGCAAGAAGAGAAATGGAAATCCCTACCTCAGCTCTTGCAGCAGATAGAAAAAGCAAATCAAAAGCATCTAAAAAAATAATACATATATATATATATTAGTGTTGCAGTATTTGAGTCCCTCTCGCACTGTTAGGTGTACAAACAGCACTTTAGGTGAGAATTAGAAGGTAAAAAGGAAGGAAACCGTGCTGAAAATAGTAGACCAGTGGTCTGATTGTGTCTGGGATATTGCTTTGTCCTAGTAGAGGCTATGGCTAAAGGGGAGAGGCTTACAAACATGCAATAACAGCAATAATATGGAAAAGGTCCAACTGTGTTAAACATGGAATCTGTTTAATTAGAGTTGTAGGGAAGAATGAGAGGAGAATAAGATAATTAATGGGAAAGGTTAATTGGATTCTTCTGTTTAGCCTTTCGCATAATGCATGCTGGAGGAGGCAGTCAGCAGGACAGAAGATTAAAACCAAGTGAATGAATTCTCATTTTGTACAAAAGCCAACATGGAACTAATTAACCCAGTGACATGGAGAGCAGCAGCTCAGGGCCCGGCCCTGCAGGTTAGGCATCCTTGCTGCTGAGGATAAAAGAGACACTCAGTTTGGGTACAGTGGTCCCTGCCTGCAGGGAGGGTGGCCACTCTGGATGGAAGAGGGAACTGTGTTTCTCCTGCAGGGAGTTCCTCCTGGAGCTGCTCTCGTCTCTTCCTTGCCCTGCAGTGGAAGTGCCTGCTGCACGGGGCTGTCTGGGTGTGTGGCTGGGAGGTGCTGTGCTGTCACCATGCCTGTTCACCTGCGTTTGTGACCTTTTATGGAGACGTGCTCAAACTTTGACCTCTTCATCTCTGTGTAAAACTGGCCTAGCAGCATGTTCCAGAGCTCCCCAAAGAGCTTGCTGGAGCCCTGGCTTGATTTCTAGGCTTGATTACACAGCCATGTCAGCTCAGAGACAACCTTAGGACACAACAAAAATCCCAGCCTTTCTGGAAGTTCTGTATCAATGGGATATTTTTGGATATGCTTTAGCTATGACTTTCATCCCCTTCTTAATCCCTGAGCGTGGTGGAGCAGGAAATGTCCTTCCTAAAGACAGGTCTCAACACAGCTGTGATCTGTGCTTCTTCCCCATTCTTGCAGTGGAACAACCAGAGTCTCACCAATGTGCTCTGTACGGGCTGGGGAACTGAAGCTCCTTCCCAGAGGTGACTTTGTTCTGTTGCAGACCAACTGCTTTATCTGCTCTCTGTCTGTGTTTCATAGAAAAGTATCAGAGGTGACACGTCGATCACGCTGGTTCGTGTGGAGTACAACGGAGTGATCCTGGGGGACTCCTCCAAGACTGATGTCTCACCAAATGGGATGGCAAACTATAACTTCACGGCCAGCTTTGAGTACAGCACTGATGGGCCCAACTCTTGGGTCAGCATCGCACAAAAACCTGTACTTTGTAAGTACCTGATGATGCAGATTCTCACTCCTTGGAGGGGTGGAGGTGATGCTGTCCGCTGCTGCGCTCTGCCTTCTTGCTTCAGGAGTCACATGTTCAAGAATAGCACTTAAGCAGCAGCAGTGGGGGAATCTCAGCCCTTCTGTTCTCCTCTGTGCCAGCTGGAAGAATCCCCTTTCATGTTGGCTTGGCCCTTTGGCTTCACTGTTCTTGTCAGCCATGTGAGGTGATACAGGAGCACGTGCTGGAGCTGACACAGGCCCTTTCCAGGCCCTGCCAGAACTTACTGCTCCAAACTTCTCTGAAGCTGTTTGAGAAACACTGCCAGCTCCTGTCTATTTTTCTCTGTAGTGACAGTGATAGAAGTGTTGCAGAAGGAGAAGAAGCAGAAGGAGGAGAAGACCGTGCCACTCGGCCAAGCTGTGCTGGACCTTCTACCTCTGCTACAAGGTACAACATGGACTTCCACAGCTTCTGTAAATGCTTCCTGCTCCCTGGCACTACTGATCTTTGCTCATGGACTCCTCATCATAAATAACCTCCTCCTGACAAAAATTGACTTCTTAGTCTTTAGAAAGCTGGGGCTGAAGGGGAGAGGGGATGGCAGCAGCAGCTCAGCTGTAGGAGTTGTAGCAGCACAACTTTAAGGCTGTGGTTTTCTGCAGAGGGTCTCACTGTATGCTTTCCTCCTTGCTGGTTCTTCTCAGGACAGTGTTCATTTACGGTCTTGGCTCCTTTGTATGCAGTGTCTACCTCTCCATCAGAAAGCCTTCACCCGGAGGCCAAGGTATGTGGAATTTGGAACTGTTCCTTTGCTCATTCGGCTCTCTGCTGCTTTTTAATGGGGCAGACGAGCATTACTCAGCCACCTAGCTCGTCACAGATATATTACAGCCCTATATATTAAAAGCTTGGAGGCTTTTCGTACTCCCATTGACGTCTGTCCCAAGGTGCTTATGATAGGTGAGGTCGTGCTAGGAAATGCTAATGTGTGCAGCTACCAAATTGCCTTGGAAAAAAATATTCAAGATAGAAATCGTAGCGAAAAATCAGAAAAAGGCAAAGGCAGGATTACCTGCCCAACTTCATTAGTCTTCCTTTCTATGAATAAAATGTCTCACAGTCTATTATTGCACAACCTCCAACTGCCTTTCCTGCGAGGCCCTCATTCATTCAGCAGATTGAAAAGCACCCAGTGAATAAAAACAGGGAGTGAAGTAAGAGAGTGGAAAAATGTCTGACTTTGCTCCCGAGTCTCCATCTACTTATCACCATGAGTGAAGAAGGTGGATTGGTACTGCATTTGCACTCCTGTATTTAAATGATATAATAAGCAAGGCATGGAAAGGGCCACCCATTAGGGAGGAAAGATGATGACAAATGCTGAACAGCTGGCTTTTCATCGTGCAGCACCCATCTGGGGTCGGGCAGGTAGCTAATGACTGCACACAGTGCATGGAGATAGGGCAGAGCTGAAGTACAGCCACAGCTTTCACACGCTCTGGATCACGAGCATTGTTTTCTGTCCCTGGTGTTCTTCCTTTCTCTGTCAGAGATCCCGACTATACATGTGCTGTGCCTCCTGTAGGCTCTGATGTGAACACACAAATATCACAATTCGGACATAGGAAAGATTGACCATGCAATTCCTTTCTTGTGCCCGTCTGTTTCCTTTAGCACCTGAAGTGAGGAATGAGATAACATTATACATTCTAGCTTCGGGTTTCTGTTTGCTTCTCCCTGAAGAGCAGAGAATTATACCTGTCTAATTATTAGCTGTTTTTTAAATCATTTTTTCCTGCAGTGTGCTCTTGAAGTGTCTGTGTGCACCAAAAAGCCCCTGCTTTCTGCAAGTCAGCTGTCAGATGGTAACTTCCTGAGTGTCACGCTGGAGGCAGCTTATTCTGTCCCTGAAGCATTTGTTCCCACTGGACCATCGCACAACTACATGGCTTGCTTGCAAGTACCAGCAGTTGGGAAGGTGAGGTTGGGTCCTGGCACAGCGAGGTGGGTGTCAGCCGCTGCAGAGCAAGTTGTTGTCCCCCACCTTGGAACAGGTGAGCGGCCCATGGAGGTACAGCCCTGGTGTTTCTGTAACGCAGATAAAAGACTGCGTGGTAAGACTGGGGATGAAACTGGCAGTGTTTTTCCACGCCATGATTTTTTTTCTCCCTTCTTTGTATGCATGTGGTGGAGTTTGTTCCTCAAGCCAGGCCCCTGCGCTGCTTCCTTGCTTTGTTAAGCACAGCTTGGAGCAGCTGGCACTTGCTTTTGCTCGTGTTGGAAGCAGAAGTCTTTTCATTCTCGTGTCTCTTTAGAAAGAAGTCCCCTTGCTCTTCATGAATGGCATCCTGAAGCTTGGTGGTGAAAAAGAACCATTACCCCGACCCAAAAAATGGTCTCTTACTAATATCCTGGCCCCTGGTGCTCTGAACATACCCAACTCCTTCATTCTTGGTGGTCCCTATGAGGATGAGGATGGAGAGCTCAACAAGACAAAGGTGAGGAAGGGCTGGCAGTGTTCTGGCTGGAAGAGAACCGTCAGGCCTCCCTGAAGGCACTGACGAAGACTTTTAGATTACAGGAGGAGGAGGGGGAAGGTGGATGGTCAAGCTCTTTGTGCAGTGTCTGGGCATGGAGGTGTTTCTGCAAGCCAGCAGGCATGCTGGCTTACCACAGGCATGCAAACACACTGCAGTAGAGCTCCCAGGGGTGCATGTGGCAAATCTGGTCCTCACTCCCGAGCTGCTGGGCTGAGGCTTTGTATTCCCTCTTTGTGAGCCAAGCTCCCAGTGCTGTGGCTGCTAACTTACTCTGCTAGGGGATCCCATGTTGGGTGAGTGGGACACCTCTCTGAGTCATGTTCTATCCCAGGGAGCATTTCAGGGAGGTGATTTGGGGATGGTGCAGGCTGTGGAGTTCGCTCTCCTGGCAATATATACTACTCCTGACCATATACTACATCTCCCAGGACAGGAAGTTTAGGATCCAGGCAGAAAGCACGAAGAGAATCGTATGGGACACAGAAAGACGCTGTTACCTGGATCCTGCTGCAGTACTCGTGTAAGGGGCACAGGAAGCTCCCAGCACTGAGTGATGAGGGGAACTGCTCAAGAATGCACTTAGCTGACCTGTCTTGGGCAGTGAGAAGCAATGCGCAAACATTCTTAGACCTCTTATGTGGCCATACATCTCCTGTGCTGTCTGCTGGCTGGAGGTGCTCGTGGTAGCAAGAGAGCACTTTAACTGCCTTTAATTGCTGGCAGCAACTTAGCTCTGCAACGGTGGGAGAAGATGAATTGGCTGTAGTTGCTGTCTTCAGGCTGTAAATGCTCTCTTTTGCTGCCAGCAGTTGGAGCTGGTTACTGTTCCTTCTGCAGTGCAAACACTTAATGACGGCTGTGTTCCCTCCCATGACCTCTTCATCACTGTCACCTGAAGGTTTGAAGGAAGGGGGGCAGTCGTGGTGAACCCACACAGCTTTCCTCTTGGCTGCTAATTGAGTTTTGTTGAATTCCCAATACATTAAAATCCTTTCACTCTACGTGGGCACTCTTCACTTGCTTTTTTATTGGATAAGCAGAACTCTTAATAGCTGTAGGTATGCTCAAGATCAGGATAGGCATCCCACTTCTCTTTGACTCTTGCAACGTTCTTGACCTCAGCTTCTCCATGGCTATGCATTCCACAGCCAAGGAATTTCTCATGTGGAAATATTCCTTTCTGTCTGTTGGGGTTTTGTTTCCCTTCTCACCACATACATACGTACTCCTCAGCTGGGATCCGCTTTGGATTTATACTAACATTAATCATGTTTCTTTTTTTCCTTTTTTTTTTTTTTTTTGGCTTCAATTCTGATGTCACCAAGAGAGAGAAACTGTGTGTGTTCCTCTCACAATCGTTTTATATCTGGTAGTGCCATAAATGCATACAGCAGTGGATGGAAAGGAACATGTCCCAGGGCTTCCTAAAGTACATGTCTTTCAATGGTGCAATGCTGGTTGCTCTGTCATGGGAGCGGGGCAGCGTAAAGCCAGGTGGGGGGCTTTGGGACTGCTGGGACACAAGGGAGGGCAGCGTGGCTGGATGGGGAGAGCTTGGGTTCTGCAAATTCTCAGTGCCTTCCTCTGCATTCAGCCTGAAGAAGCGCATCGCAGAGTGCCAGTGCTGGCCTGTGGAGGTCTGCAGGATGCCAGTGACCTCGTCCAGCAAAGGGAAAACCAGCAAAGCTGACAAGGTAGAAGTGGGAAGGGACACGTTGCTATGGCTTGTGGAGCAGCGTTGTGTCATTGGGCACTTTTTTCTTCCACGCCTTTGTTACACCAGAACCAGCCTTGAACCGGCCAAAGCAAGTCAGAGGGCTGGAGGCTTTGTGAAGGGTTTAATCAGCCTTATAGAGCTGCTAAATAAACAAAGGAGGGTGAGATTTTTTTCCTGAAAGCTTAGAGGCGTGTAGCTTGGTGGAAAAGGGTCAGGGAGGGGGCACTTCTTGGGAAGTGGAGTAATTCATTAAGCTTATCTTCAGCTGGTGTTGTTTTGGTTTGGGCTTTTTTCGAGCATCTTGAAGAAATTCATGCCTGCTTTCTGTGGGTGCAAATAAGCTCTGCTTTTGCACCTCAACTGAAGTGACGTAACAGAGGAAGAGCTCCTTTGCGAATGGTTCTGCTCCTGACTGCTGATTCTGTGAGAGTCCCTAATATGTTCCAGGGCAAAGTCGTGTAAGTTGGTGTAAATCTCATTCCTCGCCCACCGGTGCCAGCATTTTGCAGCTATGACAGAGGTACTTCACTTCACCCTGTCTGCTGCTGGCCTAGGCACCCAGGCCTCTGTAGCTACCTGACTTGTATCAAACCTGAGATGCTCGCAGCTCTGGTAGGATCATTTGGATTCCTAACCAGGTGGTTGGCAATTTGGCAGCTGTATCAGGACAAGGCTGCGCTGAGGAGTGGCAAAGTTGTGGGCATTGGAGAGAACAGCTGCCCTGCTGGGGTTGGGAGAAAATTGATATTCTACGTATCGAATGACTCCAGCGTTTTTTTGTCTGGGCTGTCCTGGCTGTGTGTCAGTGACAGAGCCCCTGGCTTGTCAGGTGCTTTGCTTTGCTGCATGGCCTTTTCTTAATGGGATCGGTGACCTTGTTCCCTTAAGAGAATCACAGCCTGTTCAGTATCTCAATGCCTTGATCTGTGTTTCCAGGGAGATGAGGACAGGCAGATTTTCTTCCACGGTGTGGCATATGTCAACATGATGCCTTTGCTGTGCCCTGGCGTGAAGCGGATCCGAGGAGCTTTTCGTGTCTCTGCCTACCAGGACAGTGAGGTGCTTGAGAAGGTGAGAGCTGGTGAAACAGCCAGGCTCCGTGCCACCTCTGCAGCTGCTTGTGCAGGATGGGTGCAGGCAGGGTGAGCAGCGTGGTGTTTGGGAGCAGGAAGGGTGGGCACAAAGGTGCTCAGAGGCCAGCCCTGAGAGCTCACTGCTCTTCTGGAGCTGGAGAGCAACGACACAAACCGCTAGGTGCAGCCTCCTCAAAGGCAGGTGGGGATTGTTGGTGCGGGTGAGCAGGTTTAGAGGCTGGGGGAGGCTCTGGATCTCAGCGCACTCCCTTCTCTGTCAGCAGCTGAGTAAGGAGAGCTGATCTCACTCCCCACTCAGGAACACGGACAAATGAACTAACTGCTTTGCTGGGAAGAGCAAACAGTGGCTCTAAAAGGATAGCGTTACCCCAGGCAACAACCAGAAAAGCTGTCACTGGAGCCCTTTCAGCTGTAGCTCGTGGAGGTTTATTTGTCTTTAGCTTTCCCTCCCCCCCCTTGTTACTAAAAGTGACAGTTACGTCTCCGTTTTCCCACAGTACTCCTGAAACAGACCTGAGCTTGTTTCAGGAGGGCAGATGCACTGCCCACATTCCCTTAGTGCTGCTGCCCATGCCATGGGAGCTGGGGGAACTACAGCCCATCTCCATGCCTCCCTGCTGCTGCTGGGTGCCAGCTGCTGGGGGGAAAAGCAGAACCTGCCACACGGCTCAGCTCTTGCTGGCCCAACTCCTGTAACGCTGACAGCTGGGAGGGAGCCCTGCCTGGGTGCTCACACAGTGTGTAAACAGGCAGAGTGAAAAACCTGGTCCCAGCAAGTTGCGGGTTTGTCAGGGAAATTACTCTGCTTGGGAAAGCAGGCTGGAAGCTGAGTCACCCCAGGGCGGGCCGGGGTGGGTACCCAAAACACAATGCAGGGCAGACCTGGGGTGGGTAGCCACTGCTTCTAGCAGTTTGTATCACCAGGCAAGTCCATGCCTGTGAGACAGACCGAGGATTGAACTCATACAGGAACCCAGGGACAGCGCCCCAGTGAAACTGCAGCCTTCGAGCAAGGAGATTCCAGTGAGGCTTTCTCAAGCAGCTCCTTTCTTAGCAGTCAGACCTGAGGTTGTGCAGCTGTGTGGTATCGGCTGGCCTTTGAGCACAGGAAACTAACTGCCTGTGGGGAGAGGATGAGGTTGCAGAGTTTCTTAATGTGTTTAGACTCTGTGTTCTGTGATGAGAAAGGTTAAGGCAAAGGAATGCCTTGGCCTTTGATTCTCTCACCTCTTTTCTTTCCACTCTCCACCCCCTTCAGACTAAAAGACAGCAGAGCGTTCTGCGGGATCTCCGTCCACAGATCAGTCTGATTAAAGAAGGATCAGAGACCCCAGGAACCAGTTCATCTCTTTCCAGAGCTGTTCCCAGTAAGGCCCAGAGGGAAGATAAGGAGAAGATGACCAGAGAACAGGAATTCAACAGAAGGGTGAGGTCTAGAGACACATATTGCAACACGCTTGGTCCTTCTCTATATCACAGCTAATCAGAATCGGGGATGGATGCTGCACTGCCTTAGCCAGCTGAGGGATGCTCATCACCTTGAAATTTTAGTAAATGCTATCTGAACAAATGTACAACGTGATCACATCCTAAATTTATGAGGGCATGAGGTTAGGATCTGAAATTGAGATGTCTTTTCTTGCTTTTCAATAGACATCCAATGCACCAAAAATCCAGTCGTCGGATGTTGCTGAAAAAGCTGCAAGTGTCACATCTCTCAGCCTTGATGGAAAGGTAATTTTGTGTGTCCAAAGAGAAGAAAAGACTGCTAGACCATCACTGCATCACTGTCTCACACCTTTCACGTAATTAAATTATTTAAGAGTGAGCTGGAGACAAGGGATGTTTTACGCAGATGCTGTCCTGGAGTTCTTCCAGTGATGTCCAGCTGGAGGAAAGTCTAGCATTGGGCTAGAAAGCTTCTATAAATAATTAGGCATTCTTTAGAAGAGTTTCTTCCTTTTTGTGACTTCTTTCTCAAAATATGTAGAATGCATATTCATTTTCCAAGCAAACTGATCGGCTGGCTGCTCTCATTTTTTTTCTTCCTAGACTGACTTCTCAAGGTGAATTTTTCAACCGTAAATCATTTCTGAGTGCAAGTTCTAAAGCAAGCAGGATCTCTGCAGTTTAAAGAGGATTTGCTGAAGATCTGTAGCTAAATGTTCAGTTTTTCATCTTGTCAGTAATGTCTTGAGATAGCACAACACTGAGAGCAATGTTTATCTTCACAGCAATATGTTGAAGCAGGAACATTCCTGGTGATGGAGATAAAGCTGGACAAGGCTTTGGTACCCAAACGACTGCAAGAGGAGCTCACCAAAAGGTGTGTAAAGGTGTAAAGACACGCTATAACTCTGGAGCTGATAGCTCAGTTCTGCAGGACACAAACCATGCTGTACAGGGTGCCTGCCCTTTGAAGTACTCTGCAAGCAGCAGCTGAAGGCTTCATCCAACGCCAACTGAAATCAGGAGGACAGGGCCACCATGCTGCTTCAGCAGTGGCATTGCCTGGGTTTGGAAAACAGTTGCATTCATCTGAGCTGGCATCTCTGCACAACAGTATCTGCGCTCCTGTCCAGGCTTTGTTTCCCATTAATCCCCCTGTGCTTGCCTCTTGCACGTGATGTTCAGCTGCTTGGTCAGGGCTAGCCACCAGTGGACTGCACAAGGTAGCACTGCTCTAGCTTCAGAATAGCATCCTGTTGTTTTTCTGAAATTCTCACAACTTTCTATCATTTCCTGGGCTCTGGTTTTCATACCCTTCTGCTGTAGAGCTATGCTCTCATCTCTGAGGCTTTGAGGCTTTCACCATGTGTTTAATTTAAGGCGGTTGCTTCCTGCCCATAGAGCAGTAGTCCTGCTGTGGTGCTACCTAGGGAAGACCTAGCATGTATAATTTATTGGATAGAAAAGAGAAAATACAGCAAATGAATAAACCATATCGTGCACAGGCATTATATCTCTTTCAGCCAGAAATATGAGCAGAAACCACACAGCAGCAGCCATTCTTTCAACAGGAAGTATGTGTACTGTCTTTTGTTCTGCCTGCTGTTTTCCAAGAAAACAGGTTTGGGGAAAATGAGCCTCCCTTACAGCAGACTTTCCCGTGAGCTTTTTTATTTGCTTCCTACTCTACTGCAGCTTGCAGAAATTCAGTGTAATTCCTCTTTGCTCTCCTGCCTTGTGCAGCTGTGGATGGGAAGCCTGGAAAATCAGATCTGAGTGGCAGAGAGGGTTCTTTCTCGGGGGGCTTCAGCTGATGGCGCATACACGTGGCCTGGCACACACACTCAGCAGTTATGCTTTTCTGTTGTTGTTTTATTTTTCCCCTTATTTCTTGGAAGGTGGTTTGGATAAGCAGCTCGTTAGCAAACCACAACTCCCTTTTCTTGGACTGCATCCAAAGTTTCCTGTCAGCCTCCGCTTCTGCTCGCTTACTTTGCTCGAGTTGCTGTTGTGCTCGGTTTTCTTTTTCTCATCTTGAAGTGAAGCAGTTTGGTTCTCATTTGTGCCACTAGCAGAAGTAACAGGGCGGTGATGGGAGCCCTTCTGCAGTGGGACTGTGAGTGTGGGCACGGCATTGTTCAGGCTCAGTGGCTTCCCAAGGAGTGGTGCCAGATCTCTGCAGGGAGGCACTGTGGAACAAGAGGATCAGAAAGCACGGCAGGGTGTGCAGAAGAAGGAAAAGGACATGTTGCTGCTTATGGTCACAGAGCTTTCCACAGAGCTGGCATCTCCCCTAGTGCCTACAGCAGCCTCATGCAGAGTTAGATGACTGTATTCGTGTCCTGTGGGGATACGTCCTGTGTGGGATGAGGGACCAGCAGGAGCAGCAGCTTTCTGAAGGTTATTTCGGAGCTGTGCTGCAAGGCCTCCTGTTGAGGCTCACGGGCAAAAGCAGCTGATGGGGGATGACAGCTCCGTGGGGACAGAAGCAGAGGCTGTGGATTGCTGTTCATGTGGGCAAGGTGAGGGCTGAGTCTCTCATCACTGAAACTTTCAGATACTCAGAGGAGCATACAGAGCAGTGGTCACAGACCTGAACCTGGGGAAGTCAGCTGCCCGCAAGCTGTGTAAGCTGGCGGAAGAGTTACAGGATTTAGCTTTGGTGTGGGGGAAGCAGCTTGCTTTGCTGATCGTGTAGGAGCCAACACCAGGATGTGACACCTTTTTTTGGTGGGCAGGATTGGGTTCTAAGGACTGAAGGTGCTCTAGTGCCAGCAAACAGGAAACCTTGATAAAATCCCACTGAATTTACACTGTTTTGACTCATAGGGTTTCAGTACAGTCTTAATAGTAGTCCTAAGGACCTTTGGCCAGTTTCTGGGAGGTCGTCGTAACCCTAGTGGTGGTACAGACAGGAGTGATACAGTGCCAGTGCATGACCAAGGGGTGATGCCAGGATCTGATGGGTGGGATGGCCCAGGTTTACCATGATAACATTCTTCAGAGCTTTCCTACCTCCAGAGCTTTGCTACCTTTCCTGCAGGTGTTCTGGCAGACCCAGGAGGTTATGAGTTAAAAGAATAACAACCTGATGAGAAGATCATCTTCTGTAGGAGAGTGGTTTTGATTGCCAGCAATAGCAAATATTAACCCTACCCACTGGGCTGAAGTTTCACAGTAGTTTTTGTGTGACGGGTCCATCAAGCCTGATGAAAATAACTGAATAAATCCCATCTAATCCCTGTGGAGTGTTGTAATCATCAGCAGGGAGTGAAGTAGTAGCTAGTTCTCTCGAGGCAGTAGGATGAGCTGCAAGCATTGAATATGGGTGCTCTGGTCTTTGCACTTCAACCTTGGTCTGACCTTCAGTTTCTTGCACCTTGCTCCCTGTCAGGTGTCTCTGGGATGTGACAGCCTGCAGCCCTCACACTGCAGGTTGGCTGTGCTTGATAACCACCAAGCACTGCTGACAGGTGTCAGGCTGATCCCTTCTGTCTTCACATTGACAGGGTCAAGGAGATGATTCCCCCTCGCCCTCCGCTGCCTCCCCGGACTGAAGGAGCCAAGAAGGTATGTGCAGGAGCCTATGGCCTCATCAACACCCTGCCACCTCATTCTGTCCTCATCCCTCTCACTTCAGAGATTTTCATCTTCAGTCTGAGCCCTGCAGCAACGCACAGATGAGATCTGCAGAGGAAGCATGCAGAAAACTTCAGGATGTGTTACCTTTGTAGTATTATGCCTTGGGAAATCATTTCTGGGCTATTACTTGATTTGCAGCCCCTTAAAAGGAGAGAGATCTAGAAACAGCAGAGAAGAAAGCAGCAGTGTGGGGGTGTTTGAAAGTGCTGAGGAGAGAGGAGAGGTACCAGAGCTGTTTGTCTCTGGGCAGTCCCAGCAGTTTCTTGCCTCAGACTATTCTGTGCATTTCTTCAGGCCCAGACAAATAGGAACAGAATCAGCCCCAATCACGCTCAGGTCCCCCAGAATTTATTTTTTTTTTAGGACTTTTGCACTTTCAATTTCCTGAGCCCAGAAAATGATCAGAGAACACCGGCTGGTTTCTGTAGGTACAGGATGGTCAGTGAAGGAGGACGTCCTCAGATGGCCCCTGGCTGAGGGGAAATTCAGTGCAACAGTGGGGGACGAAGCAATGCTTCAGTAGCTGACCCCAGCACTGCTGCAGAATTGATTTTTGCTGGACTGTTTGGAGTGCACAAAGTGATGTGTTTTGATTATTGCCATGCATGGAAGCTTCTACCACTGAGATTATGGATATTACTGCTCCTTCTGGGGGAGAGGAGGAAGGAGGACTGGCCTGTGGCTTTAAAGGGCTCTCAGCAAATGAGATACAGTTTATTTGCAGCCAGTTATGTTGCTACAGAAGAGACAAGGAGGACTGAGACAGTGTATTCTGATTGAAAAATGTAGCAGGAACAATATCTAATTATGAAGGAACACTTCTGTATTTACATGCAGATATTTTTGCAGCCTTGAGGCATGGACAGGGAAGGCTGTGTGACAGACTAATTGCAACTTGAGTCAGGTGGAGTTAATGGGAGGCGTGGGCTCTGGCAAATAAAACACATTTCAAGGTTGATGGCATAAGTGACTTTTGAAATCTGATTACTTATTTACTTCTTGATGTTCCCTATTTCCTAGGCTGTGGAAGATTATCACAAGCACATCGCAAGCATTGCTGTTGCCATCCTAAGTGAATATCATGAGCTGTTTGGAAAGCAGCCGCCAGACCAAGGAGCAACAGACCATCAAACCCTGGAGGAACAGAGGCGTCAGCTCAATTTTGAGCTCAACAGCTCTGGGAAATATTTTGCTTTTAAGGAACAGCTAAAGGCAGGGATCCATTGTGCTGTTTTACTTCCCTGCTCGTTTTGTCCTGGCAGTTTCTCAGTGAGGAACTGCTGCTCCACAGTGATAACTTAGCATGATGTGTTGCTACAGAATCCCTTCCTGTCACCCAAGGCTGTTGCAGAGATGTGGGGAAGGCCAGTTTTTTTCCTGACAGAGCAGGCTGCTTTGGTCATGCACCAACTTTTCCTGTCATCAGGGGAAGGCTGCAAAGCTGATCCCACCCATTTACCCCATATTGTATCCCGATGAAGACAAAACTGACTGCTTTGCACACTCTCAGCCTTCCCAAGGGAGAAGGGGCCTCTTCACATGTCCCTCAAAGGGCCACCTGTGTGTCAGGAAGGCAAGGGCAGAGAGGTGGGAAAGGAATTCATCCCTGCTTGTTTTGCTTTTTACCTTTATTAAGTGCTGGGCTGGATTTCTTCCTTAGAACTAAGATGGAGCTTCAGACAGTTGAGTTAGACTCCATGATCTTTGCGGGTCCCTTCCAACTCAGGATGTTCTCTATGACAATCCATGCTATGGCTCTGTATTGTTATTGACTGTGGAGCGTTCAGGGGACCTGCCGTGTTCAAGTGTTACATGTCTCCACAGTATGCTGTAGTGAAGATTGTGAGGGAAAAATACCTGAAGACCACAGCATTTGAGACCCAGGAGCAGTTCCAAGCATTTCTCAGTGAGCTGTATGTGTACCTTGTGGATCAGATGCACATTGCCCTGAACCAGGTAGGGAGAAACACTGGCTGGGATGGGTAATTTGGGAGACAGCTTCACTGTGAATCCAGAGCTAGACACCATTTCTGGTGAAGGTGCTTTTGCCTTCAAGACACCTGCAGGCTTGTGCTTCCATTTGCTGCGGTGATCACATATGGGCCCTGAGCCACGTGCAGAGGCAGGATCTGGTGCAGCCATATCCCATTGCTGTGAAATCCAGACGGTGAAACTTGTGAAATACAGCTGGTAACAGCTGCTGTAGCTGGCTCATGGCGAGGGTGGCTGGGTCTCTGCCATCTGCTGCCCCCCACACCCAAGGCAGAGCCTTCCAGTTTGAGTTGAGGTCACTCGTGACACCTCAACGGAAGTAGAAAGCGTTCTTGATCTGAGCGATACTTTTATTTGCCACAACTGCAGATGATGGGTATTAACTCCTTCCATTTGTGGTAGAAGTGCCTGGGGATGGCATGGCTTCACAGGACTGCGAGGCTGTGCCCCCAGCAGCTGGAGGCTGGACCAGCTTTCTGACTCACCCAGCCCTAGCTGTGCTGAGGTGTGCTCCATGTAGTGTTGGGATGGGGACTGCTACTGTCATGAGATCACACAAAGCCTTCACGCCCTCCTCCTTACCCTGGCTAGGGCTAACTCTCTCGCTTCTTACCAGCTACTGTATGAAGAAGCTTCTTCTCCTGCCCCTCGAATCCACTTGACTGATGAGCAGCTCTGGCTCTTTGCTCGTGAAGCTGAAGACAACAAGGACTACAAGCTGGCATCGCTCTACCACCAGCAGGTAAAGGAGCCCCTGTCCCTCCCTGTCCCCATCCCGTGTATCTGGGCTGGCAGGCAGCCCACCATCGGGGAGGAGGTGAACACGAGCAGTATACTCACTCTGAATGTGTGAGGGATTTCCTAGGGAGATGCTGCTCTCTGGAGGATGTGAGGCAGCAGCCGGCCAGGTCGCTGGAGTCTTCAGTTTCAAGGCCAATGGAAATGGGATGAGCCAGTCCAAAAGGCACGCCGGGTCAGCACTGGGTTCTCAATCAGGTGGCTAAGAGGCCAGCTTAAGTTGGAGGATACTGATAGGTGAAGGAAGCTTAGAGGAAGCTCAGTGTGATCCCAATTAAGGGAAACCCTAGAATGTGATAGATGAGGGCTTAACAGTTGCTAAACTCAGCCAAGGAAAGCTATGATTGTAGCAGAGCTGTCTTCTCAGTGCACTGTGTGTGCTGAGGGTGATGGCAAGAGCCCTCCAATGTATCTTCTTGTGTCCAGAGGATAGCTCAGGACCAGCACAACATCCAGTACTGGCTGGACTACGGGGCATTCTGCCTCCTGCTAGAGGACACCCTCAAAGCCCAGGAGTGCTTCCGGGAGGCTCTTTCTCTGAACCCACATCATGTGAGAAGGTGCTGTGTGCTCCCAGAGGGTGGGAAGGTGATGGGTGTCCTGCATGCTGCTGACGGGGAGCTGCTCCTATCCCCAGCCTGCTGCTCTGTGGGATCGTGGCAGTCATGCTGCAGCACTATGAAGAGGCAGAGATTTTCTTTGAGGATGCTTGCTGCTTGGAGCCATCCAGTGTTGTAGCCTGGACGCTTTCAGGTACAAAAGCAAGCCAGCTTGTGTGCTGAAGGCATTCCTGTACAGCCGAGCCTTGCTTTTTCTCCTGCTGCTCCTCCCCACTGCTGTAATCTGAGGAGTAAGGGAAAGATTTTACTGAGGGCTGGATTTCTGCTCATGCTGCTATTTCTGTATTTGATAGGTTTGTTCTGTGAGCTGCAGAATAATTATACTCAGGCAGAAATGGCCTTCCGTGAAGCCAAGAAGAAACTCCAAGCACAGCAGGCCAGGGAGAGAAGCATCTCTGGGGAAGGGAGAAAGCAAATCAGTGCTACGTCTGTGAGGTCTTCCAGTCAAAGCCCAGAACAGCTCTTGCCAGGTAATTCCTAGCAAAACCAGGAGGTGCCATTATAGCACAGTGAGGGGGCTCAGGGCAGAACAGTGAGATCAAAGAGGAGAAATAGGACGGGTGAAGGACACAGCAGTGGGCTGTGAGCTTCAACACACTATGAACTATGCCAGAGACAACAGTGGCAAGTACACTGCTTTAAATGCTGAGGCTGAAATACAGGTATACAGCTGATCTGATCCAGAGCCTAAGAGAAGGACCAGTCTTTGCATTTATTTTTCTGGCCCAGCCCAGTGGTGATAAATAGATGTGTGGGCAGCCACCAGAGTGACTGGGGAGTGCAAATGCACCTTCCAAGGTTTGGAAGGGTAGGGCTGCTACTGTGACTGGTGTAATTTATGTTTGTCCAGGTTTAGCTTTCATGAAAGCTGTTGCTGTGACTTTCCAGTACAGCTTGGAATGCGCAGTCTGACCAATTCAAAAGGAACAGAGCAGCTGCTCAGAGGCAGTTCTGAGCTGAAGGCCTCCTCTGGGGCCTCTGTGAATCCAGCTTCAACCCAAGCCAGGGCTTTCTGTCCCAAGTCCTAAATATTTGGCAAGGCTGTGGAAAAGATTGATTATTTTTGACAGCATCACCACTCCAAGCAAAGCGCCGCAGGCAGGCAGGCAGGCCTCCAGTGTCATATGCCAGAGGAAGGGATATTGCCTCATTTTTATCTGTTCCTAGCTTCATATGATAATCTTGTACTCAAGACTCCAGAGCCAGGTATTGCCTCTTGCAAGCTATTTTCATCCTATTTATGGAAATCTGATGGTTCTTGTGTGTTTTCTCCCATTTCTCTGGAGTTCTGCTCCAAAATGGCCAGTTTAGGGCAAACTCTTTTGCTTGCACCTGATGGCTGCTGGGGGTCTCATTGCAGAGGGGGTTCCAGATGGCTCAGCCAACGAGCTGCCAGAGATGGGAGAGGAGCCTGCCTTTGCTTCTATGGCACCCGAGGAAGAGGCTTCAGCATCAGAGACAACCTCAGAAGGTCAGGGAGGTTGTGGGATGGAGAGCCCAGGGCTGGGAGGTGGCTTTATGCAAGCAGCAGGGAGGGAAATAACTTGGAGCAGTGGGCTCCATCAGTCCTGATGCCAAGGTGAGACATCTTGTTCTTTCCCCTTAGCTGGGAAATCTGCAGCAAAGCTCTGCACTCCTGTGGGTGGCAAAGAAATGGCAGGGCTGGGGCCTTATGGCTCCACTGGGCTGTTCTGTTCTCATATCCATAAAAACAGAGGCTCTTCAGGAGAAAATGCTGAGTTCACAGCTGTTTGAGCCTCCCCTGCCATCTTCTGGGTTTTACACCGTGTCACTGGGAGTCCTCTGTCCCTGCTAAGGGCTCAGCCCTGCTCTTGTTTCAGTTTGGGACTGATGGAGATGCGTTTTCCTACAGATCCATCCCCTGTTTCAGGAGACGGGGAACCTCCCTGCACAATCTTCATGAAGGCAGTGGAATTCCTGATGAAATTCAATGCCATCCAGGTGAGCTCAACATGGAGTGAAGGGAGGGAAGGGATTTGCAGTTTCCTTCCCTGGGTTACTGCCAAATTGGCAAGCTCCAGCAAAGGCCCCTCTTGGGCTTAAAGAACACTCTGAGGCTACTCCAGCAGCAAAAGCACTGCCCAGAAATGCAAACCCATGGCCAGGCAGTGTTCAGACCAAAGTGCTTCTTGAGGACGAAGACACCTCAGGCAGACAGGGCTCTAGGACTGCATGGATGTGGAGGGAGCAGCCAAGCCAGACAGTGCAGGGGTGCCCTCTGTGCATCCAGAGATGAGAAGCATTACTCATCATTGGAAGTGATGCTTCCAATACAGCAGTATTTCTTTTTTTCAGACATCTGCTTATGTCAGAGCAATTTTTGTGTCACTTGTGGGATGTCCCTGTTCCACGCAGCCATCTCTACGACACTTCTCTGACTGCCATATTAAGCTGTCTGCTTTCATTTTACGTGGCAGAAAGAGCAGCTTAAAGCAAAACAGACCTAAAAGTAATGGGAAGTACATTTTCAAAGCGGAGGAAGAAAAAAAAAGTCTCGTCTCCTGTTTGTGGAAGTCAAACAAGAGCAAGACAGTCCTCCTTGAAGAGCACTCAGGGCAGGAGCAGCATCCTCCTGGGGATGCCTGTGCTTTGCCTGCTCCCCCAGCCATGCTGGTGTGCCATTCCTTTGCAGTTTGTTCGCATGGCCCTTGCCCACGAGCTGCTGAGCCAGCAGGGAGGCCCTTCCAGTGCTTACTACCTGGCATTGGCCCGGACATGCTTGCTGAAGGAAGAGTTCTCCAAATGTGAAGAATGTCTCTGTGAAGCCATCAGGATTGACTTCCTGGTAATCCTCCTGGTGTTTGCAGGTGCAGGATGCTGTCCCAAAGCAGCAGACAGGCTGAACGCTGCAGCAGACTCCACCTGTGTTGTTTGTGTGTGTGTGAACCCAGAGTCCGTGTTTCATTTCCACTCGAGCGATTCTAATATTAATCTGCAGCAGTTTCTCTGGGGGAGGACAATCACAGCTGATGAACCTCCCCAGGCTGTGGCTGCGGCGCTGCCCTCCTCATTACCCAGTGTATTATTTGCTGTCTGTCATCTTCCACGCACAGACAGGCAGCATTTCTGAGTGAGGACTCCTTTTCTGCATTGTCTGCTTTTCTTTTCCCTTTGAACGTGTATATCCTGATCCTTTTTCCCTACATTGTGAGTCAGCCCCTGTTTCACAGGGAACAAGGTCGCTATTCAGCAGAGAGAGAAGGCAGCTTTAGAGTCAGCTTGAATGGAAGGTGCACAGGCTTTAAAGCTGCCATCTCCAAATGCTGCTTGCATGGTACCTGGGAGCCTTGCATGGGCCAGGATATCCTGCAGGGAAGGCTGGAGGGTGCTTCCATTGCTGGTGTTATGCAGACAGCCTGCTGGCTTGATTTTTATTCCATATGTAGAGCCTGTCCTGCTCTCATCAAATACCTGTCAGTTCCCCCCTTCTGCTGATGACAGGGGTCCTCCTCCAGGTCTCTCTCCTGCCTGTCTCCAAGCCACGTCTCACTCTTGGCTTTGTGTGCACAGAATCCCGATGTCTGGGCTCAGAAGGGACACCTGAGCTACCTGAGGAGAGACTTGCAGGAGGCAAAGGAGTGCTATGAGCGAACGGTCAATTTTGTGGAGGATGCTGCAGACATGCATTTTGTCTACCTGCACCTGGGCTCCATCTACCTGGAAGACAAAGAGGTGAGGAGTCACGCAGGAGTGGAAGTAGGGCATTTTCCACAAAGCGAGTACCAGTAGATGCCAGATCCCAGGTCCAGAACACCGTTACCTCCAGCTATAGCTGAGATGCAACAGTGCAGCAAAACGTTATGGAGTACTGAAGTCTTTGGAGCATGGAGCAGCCCTACTCCTTTGTGCCAGATTTGACTCTCAGGGTGCTGCTGAGACTCAAATTGTATTGATGAAGGTGTTTTTTACACTACTGCACTCGTTCCTGGCAGCACAGAGCTTTGGGGGCAGTGGGAAAGCTCTCAGCCTCCCAGCAGTGAGGTGTCTGAGCCCCAGCAGGGATGGGGTGTTGGGCAAATTCCTGAGGTGAGAGGCTGTATGGAGGGGATGCAGAGAACAGTGTGATCATCTCTCTCCTGGCAGTATGGCAAGGCGAAACAGATCTACCTGCAAGCCTGCAAGAGCTCTGCATCCTGTCTCACCTGGCTGGGAGTGGGGATTGCCTGCTATAGGGTAAGTGCTGTTAGGTGTGAGATCCCAAGTTCACATCATCTGTGCTGTGTCTGGTTCTGTGCGCAAGGCTTGCTTTTATCCGATGCTTAAGTCTGTGGAACCGATGCTCTTGGAAGCTGTCATGTGCTGTGCACTGTCATGGTCACAGGGTGGCACCCTGGGCTGCTTGTATGGCAGGTGGAAAATAGAACAGTCAGCCTCAGCACTGCACCAGGGGCAGCGTCCCTCCCCCCCTTGTCCCACTGCCAGGGCCCTCAGCCCCAGGATGTCATGGCACACACATCATCTGGGCCTGGGCTCTGCCCCGAGTGCCTGCCTGCACATGACCTGCATAGGGTTTGATTTTTTTTTTGGGTGGTCCTGTGTGGAGCCAGGAGTTGGACTTGATGATCTTTGCGGGTCCCTTCCAACTTGGATATTTCTTAACTTGATGCACATCACCACAAAGGATTGGGCAGGCTGTCAGCAGTGAGGAATCTCGGTGCTTTCCCTGCCCAGAGGAATCCAGCACCTCTGAAGGGTTGCCAAGGACACCCAGACACAGCCACCAGCAGCGCAGTGTCTCCCAAGGGTACACTTTGCATGCTCCCTCCAAAGGGATTTGGCTGAAAGAACCAAACAGAGGAACTCAAGCTCCTCTGTTTCCCCTTTGGACAAATGTAAGCCTCCCACGAAGATGCAGACCCCAAAAACAAGGGAGCTGAGTGGTGTCCTGGGAGCTGGCTGCAGCCCCTCCTGCCTCCAGGGAGCCTCTGTGGGAAGAGGCATCAGGACCAGAGTCATGTTTTGAATGATGCATGCATGCCAGCAGGTCCTGAGAGCTCATGATGGGGCTGGACTGCTTGGTTTCTGCAGACAAAGGCGTCAGTACCCAGTCTGTTGGTTTCCTCCTGCCCCTGCCTCCCTGTCAGGGCAGCTCAGTGCCAGCAGTCATGCTGAATGCTTCATCTATAGTGTTTTTTTGGCTGTTAGAACAGGTGCCTGCTCAGTTGTGAAGCCGTTTCTGTCTGCTGTTTGTCTTTTCTCACACCTCTCTTCTTTCCCCCTCAAGCTGGAAGAGATGGTGGAAGCAGAGGATGCTCTCTCTGAAGCCAATGCCCTAAATAACAGCAATGCTGAAGTGTGGGCTTACCTGGCCCTTGTCTGCTTGCAGGTGAGTGCCCAGCCAGCTCCTCAAGGGAGCCTGAAGAACACCGTGTCCGTCCCAGGGCTGCAAATGGCTGGGGGAGCAGTCACTGCAGTGCTCAGGTGGCACAAGCAGCGCCATCAGTGCTTGCTGGGACCTCCCTGAGCCCACTCCTTCCCCCTTCCCCTCTCTGCTGTGTTGCAGGGAGGGCGGCAGCTGGAGGCAGAGCAGTGCTACAAATACGCCACCAAGGTGAGTGTGGGCACCAAACTCTCATCCTTCCATGTGTGATGAGAGCGTGGGCTATTTCTTTTGGTCGCTCTAAGCTGGTTCTGCTAAGGGCAGAGCATGGAGGGAGCCATTCTCATTCCTTGTGGGGGTTCTGGGGGGGATCTCAGCACTCATGCTGAGATGCACTTTCCCCTGATTTGCAGAATCAATCTCTATAACCCCCCTTTTCTTGAACCTAGCAAATTCTGTTTTGCTAGATTACTCCATTCGGGAAAAGGGAAGTTTTGAAATAGCTTTCTACTTTCTGCCTTAGCTTGTGCTTTTTCCATTCCTCATCCCCAGAAGTTTTGCATAATACGCATCTCATCACAATGCACGTTTAAATGAGCATGATTGTTATAATAATACAGGCCACAAAGAGTTGCTTTAGCCACTCAAAATTAGGTAACCAACTGGGGAGCCGTTCCCATAACTCTGTAAACCCAAACGAGGTGTCATGCATCGATACCTAATGAAGCAGCCTAGAGTGCTCTCGTATGGCTTGTGGGTCCGTCTCGACTTTCTGAGTCCTGTCTACATAAGCACAACAGCTCTGATTAATTATCACACAAACCCCTCCCTCTTTAGCCGTTCGGAGGTCCAGAGCCATTCTGTTTTGCAGCACTGCTTTACTAAGCATCAAAAGCTCTATTTGTGATGACCTCATTGCATCAGCGGCTGCATTTTCTATTATTTCTAAGGTGGTTGAAATATTAACGATCGCCTTCTCCAGTTCACTTACCCCAAGAGATGGAACGAACCATCTAACAAAGCTATTGAACCCGGCAGGCTTTTCTACCACAGGGTTTGATGCCCTCTTCACTAATTTCCCTGGGGTTCTCAGAACTCCCATCGGGGCTTTGGTACAGTTATGTATGGAGATGTATGGTGTCAGTGCCCCCAGCGTACAAAGCGCCCCTCCAACTCTGTGGTGACCATTTCCTCGTGTGTCTATCTCCACACAGCCACCACAGCCCAGCAGGGGTACATCCAGAATGGAACCAGGAACTGTGGTTTAACGCTGTCACCACTGGGAGGGGGCACCGCTCATCCCCTGGACGTTTGGTGGCATTTAAATTGTGAAATTCCCCCATACTCACTTCCCCTTGCCCTTTTTCCAGGACTAAAGCTTCCCAGGGTGGTGCTTGTAACTCGTAACTGGGAAAGGTGCTGTTCTTATAACACACGTGCTCAGGGATTGGGCTCTGTGGGGAAGGCAATGGTGGGTTGTCATCCCCCAGCACAGTGTTTCTCCACTGGGGAGTTTAGTTTCGGACTGTCGCAGCAAACATTTCCCTTTTGGTACCTTCCACCATATTGTGTCATTCCCAGAAAGAGGCTCAACCTAGAAATTGTCATATGGCCAGCTCCAATTTAAATAAGGAATGGGAATTCCCATTAAGGGAAGCTCCATTTTCCCATTCCTGGGCATTGCTGTACAAACCCAGCAGTTCATCAGATTGAGACTCTGGGCCATTGCCTGGGTGACCTTCAGGTAGCTGTTATCCTTCCACGCCGCAGCAATTCCTAGCAGGTTATCACACACAGCTTACACATTCTTCTTAAGAGTTGGCCAAAAAGGTCCTTTCTTCTCTGCTGTCACCAGCTCTAGGTGCCTTCTTTAGTCAGGTAGAGTGGATCCGTGGTGTCAGCCCTCCAGCTTGGTGCAGTTACAAGTCCTGGCTGTGGTCCTTCCCACCGCAGTTCCAGTGGAGAATCTGAGAGGGATTTAGCACACACATGATCTCCACGTAACGCATGGTGCACCGGGCTATCCATGCCCCGTGCTCTAGTATCAAACACAGCCTTTTCAACGCTTCTCAATTGTTTCTGTGAGCTAATTACATATCTGCTCAAAGTTCCTCACCGATTTGCTCCAAAGTACCCTTCTGCACAGAGCACGGTCTGCCATAAAGGCTTTCAAATGGACTCCGTCCTTCCTTGGTTTGGGGTTTAGTCTGAATTCTTAAAAGTGCCATAAGCAGTGCCTGTGGCCATGGGATCCCGGCCTCCTGGCCAAGCTTTATTATTTGCAACTGGATCGTTTGGCTCATCTTTCCCACTCGGCCACCACCAGGTGTGTGTAACTGCCAATCCATCCCAATAGCGTGCTGATCTGCTCAATTTCCTATCAGTAACGATTCTGAGGCCGGGTCTGGGGAAGTTTGTTTCCTCGTCGTGTCCCTTAACCTATCCAGAAATTCTGAAGGAGTTTCCTTCAGGTTTTGCCTTCCTGCATATGATGCAGCCCAGTTAATTGTCTTGGGGATAGCTCTTTCCATTCCTTTGATCACCCATTCCTGGTAAGATCCCTTCCCCCTGTAGTTTCCGGGTCCCAGTGAGCATCCTGCCTTGGAAAATGATCCTCGATGTCTTCATGCCTTCCCCAGATATCATTCTCAGCTAGATCCTGTGCCACCTTTAAAACCAGGTCCCTTTCCATCTCAGTCATGGAACCTAACAGCAGCTGGATAGCACTCCAGCCTGGGTTATGCTGTAAGACCTGGTACCTGAAGCGACCAGCTACTCCTACTGGATCACTACGATAATCCTTAATTATCTCCCTCCAGCTCTCTAAATCATATGACGAGAATGGAACTTTAACTGTGCCCCATCTGTCCCCTGTTTCTTCCTGGTCCTTGCTGCTACAGCGAATCAGCTGGGGTTCCGTGAAGAAAGGCTATCCCTCCCCCAGCGATCTTCCTCTCTCCTCTCGGGGTCCCCTACCCAGGGACCAGCCCGATCGTGGTCTAAAAGATCCTCTGGCTCCAATTTGCTCGCGAGCTCAGTCCATCTCTGCCCTGTGCTGCAGGCGGAACAGCCTCAGCTTCCCATCACCTATCACCTCGGCGATCTTCTTCTAACGCTAATCCTAGTGGTTCTTGCGGAGCTCCCATCCCACTTCTGCCACTCGGGACGGTTTGGCAGACTAAAGAACATTTAATCACTTCGTTTTGTCATCCCCTAACTCACCCGCAGCTCGGCTTGGACGACTCGACCCTGCTGCAGGAGCTCCACGCCGCCCAGCAGCGCTTCGGCTTCGGCGACCCGTCCTTCTGAGCGGGGCGGTGCCGCGTGGTTCCGGCGCAATGCCATTACAGCCGTTACCGTTAACTCCCGGCTCCCGCTCCTTGCTGCGTCCCCGTTACCGCGGGCTCACGGTCACACGTGGGTGCGCCGAAAGCTGCGGGAGCGCGGCGCCCCCCTATCGGCCCGGAGGCCCCGCGGGGCGGGCACCACGTGACGTGCTCCCGAAGGGGGGCGTGGTTTCGCGGCGGGCGGGCGCGGATTGGCGGCGGGCGCGCGGGACGGTTGAGCCATGGCGGCGGGTAGCGGCGCTGGGACGGGGCTGGGGGGCGTTGAGACACCTTGGGGACGGGGGATGGGGACGCTGGGACGGAGGGATAGGAACGCTGGGATAGGGCTGCAGGGCCGTGGGGACGTAAATACGCGGCGGGATAGGGATTGGGAGGGGAATGGGGACACCAGGATGCGGTGGGATAAGGATGGGTGGGAATGGGTACACAGTGGGACAGGGTTGGGGTGGAATGGGGACGCAGAGACACGCTGGGATGGGGCTGGGGGCACTGGGACACATCGAGACGAGCCTGGAGGGCTGTGGGACACCGGAACAGGGCTGGGGGTACCGGAGGGAATGGGATACGCTGGGACAGACCTGGGGTGGAGTGCTTGGGGGCACCGGGCACACCGGAACAGGGCTGGGGGGTGTTGGGACGGGGCTGGAGGGGTTGGGATGGGGCTGGGGAGCACCGGGAGGATGCTGGGGCAGTGGGGATGTGGACACAACGCCAGGGAAGAGGAGGGGAGGTCACGATGGTGTCCTGTGCGTTGCATCCTCCACGCATCACCTCCCTGCAGCATGGCAGAGCCCCTACCTGAACGTCTTCAAGCATTTCCGCGTGGAGGAATGGAAGCGCTCCCACAAGGAGGGAGACGTCACCACTGTGATGGTAACGAAGGTGCCAGGGATGGCTCTTACCCAGGGTGGGCAGCAGAACCCCATCATGCTGTGCTCCTGCAGGACAAGACGCTGAAGGGCACAGTGTATCGCATCCGGGGCTCCATCCCTGCCAGCAACTACCTGCAGCTGCCCCGCACTGGCTCTCAGTCTCTGGGGCTGTGTGGCCGTTATCTCTACCTGCTGTTCCGGCCCCTGCCCCGCAAGTACTTCGTGGTGCACCTGGATGTGGCTACTGAGGTGTGTGGGGGTGCGGGGTGGGTGTCCTGGGGGGACTGGGTCCTGGTGGGAGCTGCAGAAGGGGTTTAAGGAGGTGACAGAGCCCTGTGCTCATTTAGGGGCCGCTGGGGCTGCTATCCAGCCCCTAACAGGGGCTGCAGGGAAGCTGGGGTGGTTGTAAGGTCCCTCCCAAACCCGCAGGGTGAGTGATGTGCTCCCATCTGTCCCCAGGAGAACCAGGTGGTGCGCATCTCCTTCTCCAACCTGTTCAAAGAGTTCAAATCCACGGCCACGTGGCTGCAGTTCCCCTTCATCTGTGGGGCAGCCAAGGGTTCACTGCGTGACAGCACAGCCAGGGCTTCCAGGCAAGGTAAGAGGTGGCCAAAGCGAATTATTAGAAAATCAATGGGGTTTGGAAGTGGAGTGGTGTGGGTGAGGAGATTTGAGGGGGAACCCAGCATCCCTCCTGCAGCTCACAGCGGTGGGTGAGGTGTGTTTCCTGGTCTCACATCTGCACTAGTTGGGAGCAGAGAGGTTGAGCGTGGGGGAGATATTGAGCAGGCAGTAGTTTTCACTTGAGGTGTGGAGTCGTTTGGGGCTTTTTCTTTTCTTTATGCTGCAGAGGGACTCTGAGGAGCTGGGAGGTTGGGGCCCTAAGGGGCTTTGTGCACCGTGGCATTTCCATTGCTGCAGCCAGACTAACAGCGCAGCCCCAAACCGGCTGTGTGTGCAGGTGGGGGTGGAGGAGCAGAGTGGGGATGGGACGGATGGGGCACAGCTGTGCCGTGTGTGTGCCACCCACCTCGTGTCTCCTGCTTTGCACAAATTCTGCTGTACCCGTTAAGGTTCTTTGTCTGCAGACCTGGTGGGAGCAGCCCCTGCCAACGCACGCTGGACCTGCCTGGTGCTTGACCTGCACTATGTGCTCTCCCTGTACCTGAGCCGGCGGTACAGCCACCTGAGGAGCATCAAGCTCTGCTCCAACCTGCTGGTCAAAAACGTCTGCACCAGCGACTTGCTGTTTGAGCCAGGTGGGGAGCTGAGACCCTGTGAGATTTCGACCAAGCCTGGTTGTACCATGGCGTTCTAAAAGCTGCTTTTAGAGCCCTAAGTGCAGCAGGGCCACTGCCTCTGGCTGAGCAGCTTGAATTCTTAGTCTGTGAGCATGGGAAGGTGTCTGTGGCAAACGCTGGGCTGGCTGTAGTGCAGCAGTGGTAGGAAGCAGAAGGGGCAAAGCGCTTGGTGAGATGTGAGCAGGTTCTGTGTGCAGTAGTCGATGCAGCCTCTTGACCTCCCTGGAGGAGAGTGTCATCTCATTTTCTAGCTGGAAAAGTAAATGAGTAGAAAAAAGTTAAATATCTTACCAAAGTTAGTAAAGGGCCTTAGCAAACCTCAGGTCTCCCAGGGCTGTGCCCACAGACTCTGTTGTTGGACTTCCAGATATCTTCCAGCACTCTTTCTTCATCCACCTGCTCACTGTGGTAGTTACTCAGTTAAAACCTTCATTTCTGATTTGTTTGGAAACCTGCCCAAACTCACTGGCCTGCTGGTGGGACTTAGAGGTGCTGCATGCAGTGAAAGGCTTCTGAGGTTTGTTACGTAGTGAAGGCTGTTGTGAAATTACAACTGCACCGAGGAAGGAAGAGAAGAAAATCAGCACAGCCCCAAGCAAAAGCACACAAAAATGCAAAAAGTAGTAGAGATGAAGTGAATCCTGGCCCTGGGGGTTTATAGTGTGATACCAGGGGTCTGTCCTCTTGGGCTGTCTTTGAAGGTTGGGAGTTTCAGGGTACAAAGGTTCATTCGTTGTTCGATGTTACAGTGCTTCAGTTGTAGCCTTTGTGCTTCCTCTGCCCCTGAAGAGAGGAATTCTGTCCTGCTGGGGGCTGATTTCAGGCAGCTCCTTGCAGAGCCTTCTGTCACCTTCTGTCTCCTGTGCCACCAGGTGTGACGCTCTCTGAAGCCCGCCGTGCCAGCCCAGCCTGCCATGGGGCCACTCCAATGCCACGGGACATGGCCTTCCCAGTGCCCAAGGGAGGAAAATGGCACGACCACTACGACTACATCAGGTACTGACAGCACACAGAGCTTCAGAGCTCTGCTCCTGGGGATGGGTCTGCACGTGCTGTGGGCAGACAGGATGGGTAAAGCTGGTCTAGGAACGACAGATTTGCTTGGGGAGGGCAAAAGGAAAAGTCTTATAGGAGGCAGTGAGCTCAACCTGCTTCTGAGAGAGGCTTCTGTGCCACGTATAGGCTGTTGTGAGATCCTGCGTGCCTGTGTGGAGTCCTGGTTACGTGGTGCCTTCTGATTTTGCTCAGGTTCCCACCCAATGGCTCCAGTCTGCCGTATGACTCCATCCAGAGGAGCTGCTCCAGTCCTGTGGCAGGTGGGATGGCTGGGGACATCAGGTGGGACAGCAGAGGGGACACACTGCATATGCTTGAGTAGCACTTGTGGGGCTCAGTCAGAGCTTTTTGCTGGGGGAGCTGCCAAAAGCTGAGGCTGACATGGGTCAGCTGAAGTACTGCGTTTGCTGGGAAATCAGATTAATTCTGAAGTAGCTGTGAGATGGGCTCCTTTCGTAGCTATTACTGAGAATTCAGAAAATAGCCCTCAGTGAGTCTCCTGGGGTCAGAGTCCTTTCCCTTCTCCCTCCCAACTCAGGGCAGCAAATCCAATGTGTTATGTGTGCATTATGCCTGCTGTGTATCTGCTGTAGTGCTTCCAGTGAGTGGGGGACCCAGATGGATTTTCCATTGCTATTCATCCCCACGCCTTTCCATCAGCAGCTGAGTGGTGCGGCTCTTTGCCTCCAGGGGAGGTTCAGGTTGGATATTAGGAACAAGTTTTTCTTAGAAAGAGTGGTGAGACAGCGGCACTGCTGCACCAGGAAGGTGGTGAGGTCACCAACCCTGGAGGTGTTTCAGAGCCATGGGGATGTGGCACTGAAGGACGTGGCTCAGTGGGCGTAGTGGGGTGGGTTGGGGTTCAGCTTTGTGATCAAAGAGGTCTTTTCCAACCTCAATGATCCTATGATCCTTCCCTGCAGTAGGTAGCTAACAGGGCACAGCCCAGCCCTTTCTTCTGTCACCCAGGTGGCCGCAACTCAGAGGAGCCCCTTGGCCAGCTGCCCCAGCCGGTGACGCTCACCAAAGCGGTTCGAGACCGGCTGTCCCTCATCCAGCAGATCACCAGTCCCAAGGCTGTAAGTGTGCCGTGGGTGGAGGGTGTGACTCCTTTCTGCTTTACAGGGAGTTTTTCCCCCATCTTTTCCTTTAGTTTCTGTATTTAGAATGTAGAAGCTGCTGCTTGTCATTTGCAGCCTGATCTGGGCACGGTCTGTTGACCCGGAGGCCACAATTAATAAGTCAGTGGTTCACTCTGGCGTAGCACAGAGCAGAGAGGAGAAAAATGCCAACGACTCCATAATCTTCAGACATCCATCGCAGCTGGGCAGCAGATACTTTTGTCCTCCAATTAAAGATAGGAAATGAAGACTTGAGGCTACAGGGACTTGGTGGGGTGAAGAGCCACTCGGGAGTGACACCGGTGTCCCCCTGTCTCTGCTCTTGCAGTGGGTGCTGGGAGGGCTGAGCCGTGCCCAGGGCTGAGCCGTGCTGGGGGCTTTGCTCTTTCCCAGATGCCACACCGGTGCCCTGCAGCTGCAGGAAGCATCCCTGAGGTTCACCTGGCAGCCCCAGAGGCCCTGCGTGTTGGGGAGCAGGAGGCAGAGGATGGGATGCTGCGTGGCATGGGGGACTCCATGCGGTCCCTGGCTGTCAGTGATGGTGGCATCCATGTGTATGCACACCAGAGGAGCGAGCAAGCTGCCCATGCCACCCAAGCAGGCTCAGAGGAGGTGAGTGAGCAAACGGAGGACACAGCAGCCCCATTTCCCGTTGGTTGTGGTTCTCCTTACTGTTCCCCCCTTTTGGAGGCTTTGATGGTGGGACACTTTGGTCAAGA